GAGTGCTCTGACAGGTAAATCAAGGGACTGACAGGTAAGTCTCTACATTCACCTGTCACAGCACTCTGATTGGTTAGCTTGAAATCCAGCCAATCAGAGTGCTCTGTGTCATTTTACACAGCGTGGGAAAGTTCTTTGGAATTTTCCCACGCTGTGTCATTTGACTCATAATTCTCTGATTGGTTACTTTCAATTAACCAATCAGAGTGTTGTTATGAGTCAAATTACACAGGATGGGAAAATTCCAAAGAACTTTCCCACGCTGTGTTATGGATAAAATTATGGATTTTTATTTGGCCATTTTGGGGGCTGAAAAAAGATGTTAGAAAAAAGAAGACATCAAATGGTAAGTTTTATTTTTTTTTCAGGTACCTAGTTAATGGTCCCCCCCCCCACTATTTTTAGGGTGAAGGGGGAAGGTAGGGGTTAAATATTTTTTGAGAGGGGGTGACTAGGAATTTGGGGACCCCTAATCACTTGGGGGGGGTATATTTTTATTTAGGGCCCCACCCGCCACTCAGGGTTTGGGGCCAGGGGGGAGGACAATAGGTCGCCCCCTTATTGGTATTTAGGGCTCCAACCCACCGCTCAGCATTGGCGGATCCGGGGGGGGGCAACGGGGCAATTGCCCCCCCCGAGATTCCCCCCTGCCGGCTAACGCAGGGCTGGCATTCCCCAAGTGCCAGCCCTGCAATGTGCCTGCGGACCGGGGAGGATGCCAGCATGACCACTCAGTGAGAGAGAGGATTCCAGCTCAGTCCCCCTCTCCACAGCCCTCTCGTGAGATTTGGAGCGTTGCCGCCCCACGGCACGCTCCAAACTCGCGAGAGTGATCTACCCTCCCGTACTAGATTACACACACACTGCCTACAACTGGACCCCCAGGGATCTGCCACCCCCCCTCCTCCTAAATAAAGGTAAGAAGGGAGGGGGGACATAGAATATTTATTTTATAAAATAAAAAAAAATATTATTTAAAAGCCTCCTTCCCCCCCCATACACACACTGCCCCCATACACACACTGCCCCCCATACACACACTGCACACACACCCCCCACACATACACACACTGCCCCCCACAAACACTGTCCCCCATTACTGACATTGCCCCACAAACACTGTCCCAATACACGCACTGCCCCCATACACACACACTGCCCCACAAACACTGTCCCCATACACACACTGCCCCACAAACACTGTCCCTGACATACACTGCCACACTCACACACTTCACCCTTAACACACACCACTGCTCCTATATCCCAGCAGACCCCAGGTAAGTTGTCAAACTGTTCTTAAACGGTATGACTACTTACTCTGGGGTGGAATCCTGGCACTACTGACACCATAACTACTACACTGAGCTGTAGTGGTTATTGTGCCTGGATTATTTATTTAAATAATCTACAAGTGCCCCTCCCGAGATCAGGCTCTGGATCCGCCACTGCCGTTCAGGGGTGGGGGCCAGGGTGGAGGAAAATAGGTCCCCCCTTATTTGCATTTAAGGCCCCCACCGGACTGGGAAAAAAATTAGGCTCGGGCATTTTTCAATCAGAGCGGCCCCCTAAGAAGGGGGCGGGGCCAGAGAGGGTGAGTTTTGTCATCACTAATGACAAGCACGCCCCCTCTCAAAGTGAGCATGTTGGTTCAATGCCCAGAGCCCTGCTGAAGAGCTCTAGCATTAGAAAAAGGCCCTGTATTTGTTCTGCGCAGCGCAAGCAAATTTAATAACATGCTTGTGTTGTGTTTGCTTTTAAATTGTCTCTTGTGTCTCCACAAGTGGGATACCAGAGGACAAAAGGGCCAGGAAAGTGTAGGATGCATGTGTGTATGTGTTTGGAGCCTGCTTGTGGGATTGCTTGTGTGTAGAGTGTGGTGTGGTATTGTGTAAATAGGTCAATTTAATTTGTGTTTTTGGTGCAATATGTGTGGCTAGGGGCTGTAGAGAGTGTGTGTATAGGGGCATAGTGTTATAGGGGATGTAGCGAGTGTGTGCATACGGGCTGTAGTGTGTGTGTATAGGTGTGTGTAGGGGTTGTAGAGAGGGTGTGTTTAGAGAATATTGTATGTGCTTGCTTACAAGGAATGTAGTGTGTGTGTAGGTGGTGCAGTGTGTGTGTGTAGGAGATCTAATGTGTAAAGGACCCAGAGTGTGTATAGGAGAGTGTGTGTGTGTGTGTGTAGAGGATTAAGATTGCATATAGGGTAAGGGATCTAGCGTGTATCTGGAGCGTAATGTGTAGTGGTGCAGTGTGAGGGGTGCTGTAGTGTGTGTATATATATATATATATATATATATTTATTTGGACGTATGTGTATGTGTGAGGGACTCAGTGTGTGTGTGAAGAGTGCAGTGTGTGTGTGTAATAGGTGTGTGTAGGGGTTGTAGAGAGGGTGTGTTTAGAGAATATTGTATGTGTTTGCTTACAAGGAATGTAGTGTGTGTGTAGGTGGTGCAGTGTGTGTGTGTAGGAGATCTAATGTGTAAAGGACCCAGAGTGTGTATAGGAGAGTGTGTGTGTGTGTGTGTAGAGGATTAAGATTGCATATAGGGTAAGGGATCTAGCGTGTATCTGGAGCGTAATGTGTAGTGGTGCAGTGTGAGGGGTGCTGTAGTGTGTGTATATATATATATATATATATATATTTATTTGGACGTATTGTATGTGTGAGGGACTCAGTGTGTGTGTGAAGAGTGCAGTGTGTGTGTGTAAGAGGGGTGCTGTGTGTGAGGGTGTTTTTATCTGCCGTCACATTCTAGGTTTCTAATTTTCTTTGTCTGTTAACTCACTGAGGGTTATTTTATATATTATATATATATGTGTGTGTGTGTGTGTGCTGTATATGCGTGGGAGTATGCTGTGTGTGTGTGTGAGGGTGCTGTGTGAGCGAGGGAGCTGTGTCTGTCTGAGGGAGCTGTGTCTGTCTGAGGATGTTGTGTGCGTCTGAGGGTGCTGTGTGAGTGAAGGTACTTTGTGTGTCTGAGGGTGCTTTGTATGTCTGAGGGTGCTGTGTGTGTCTGGGGGTGCTGTGTGTTTCTGGGGTGCTGTGTGTGTCTGGTGGTGCTGTGTGTGTCTGGGAGTGCTGTGTGTGTCTGAGGGTGCTGTATGTGTCTGGGGGTGCTGTGTGTGTCTGAGGGTGCTGTGTGTGTCTGGGGGTGCTGTGTGTGTCTGAGGGTGCTGTGTGTGTCTGGGGGTGCTGTGTGTGTCTGAGTGCTGTGTGTGTCTGAGGGTGCTGTGTGTGTCTGGGGGTGCTGTGTGTGGGGCTGTTAGTGTGAGTGTGAATTTAGCCATGCTACCTTCCCTGGTGGTCCTAGTGGTGAGAGTGAACTCTAGCCTGCAGGGCTAGAGTTCACTCTCGCGAAATCTGAGCTTTGCCGCGGTAACCGCGGCAACGCTGAGACTGCGCGAGAGAACCCGGCGGAGCTGCTGGCTAGAGCTCCCGGGCCCTCTCCTGCCTCCCTCACTCCCCAGCCGGCAGCCGCATGTCAGTGCCTCTGGGCCGGTGAGGAGATCTTTGAAATAATTCCTTGACTTCCTATAACCTATTTATCCTATAATATAAAAGATTTAAGCATACAAAACTAGATTAAATGCAGTCTTTCGAAAATAAGTGATATAATGAACAATAACAACTTAAAGGATTTTCACTTGTTGCGTGCTGAATATAAGTTAGATAACAAATACGTTTTTAACTATCTTAGAATAAAAGGTTTCTTGCGTAATTATTTAGCAATTGGAAAATCTAATAAACTAATCTTTTTGGAAATGCTATTGAAAAAAGCTACTCCAACAAAGATAGTAGCTGGCTGTCTAGAACTGCAATGTAGATTTCTATAATGAATAGTAGTATGATTTTGCTTACCTTACTGGTGTTTTGGTGCCTCCTAGTGGATGATTGTTAATGTTTTATTCGAATATAACATTTTATGGATTTATCAATGATCTGTCTGTCTGTCAATCAATCAATCATCTGCACATAGGGGGCTCCAGTTTGTGTTAATGTTGCCAGATATGTGTGCAGAGAGAGAGGAAAGACCACAAATCCAGACCAGTCTGTCTATTAGGATTTCTTCCGGAACTCCCACAAAATAGTTTTAAGAAGAAAAATTCAGTCAGCCTCTACCTGGTCACAATTATGGCAATAATTCTGGGTCTACATTGTTAATATAGGACCTGTGGGGTTGCCACCAAGATTTTTTTTTTTGTGTTCTATGAGAGAAGAAGTGATTCAATTGCTAATACATTATGCACTTTTGTCCACATGAATATTAAGTCATCTACACTGCTTGATAAATCTACATTTACAGTTAAAGGACCACTGTAGGCACCCAGACCACTTCAGCTCAATGAAGTGGTCTGGGTGCCAGGTCCATCTAGGATTAACCCTTTCTGCTGTAAACATAGCAGTTTCAGAGAAACTGCTATGTTTACATATGGGTTAATCCAGCCTCTAGTGGCTGTCTTATTGACAGCCGCTAGAGGCGCTTCTCACTGTGATTTTCACAGTGAGAAGACGCCAGCGTCCATAGGAAAGCATTGAGAATGCTTTTCTATGGACTGACTGAATGCGCGCGAGGCTCTTGCCGCACATGCGCATTCAGTCGGTGACGTCGAAAGGAGGAGGAGAGTCCTCAGTGCCGAGGGAGCCAGGCGCTGGAGAAAGGTAAGATTTTAAGCCCTTCCTCCCCCTAGAGCCCGGTGGGAGGGGGGCCCTGAGGGTGGGGGCACCCTCAGGGCACTATAGTGCCAGGAAAACGAGTTTAGTCCTTTAACGTGAGTAGCACACTAAACCAGACACCAGGAGATAAAAGTAAATACATTTTGTTTCAGTATACGTTTTAATCTGAAACCTGCACCTTTTCTTTTTTAGTTTTTTGAAGACTAAAAATAGTACATGTTGATAATTTAATTTGGTAAGTCATAATGAATCAGAAATTATATTACAATTTTATTTACAATAAAACATTAATGAAATATAAGTTATGTTTTCTATTGTTTTCAATAGCTGCATGTTAACTAGATTGATAACAAAAAATAATTTACGCTACTGAATATGGATTGCACCTACAACCCAGTACTCAGAACAGTCTAATAAAGAACAATTCAGCAGTGGTACCCATGGAACTGTTTTATCAGTAAAAGCAAAAACAAAAAAAACAAAAACAAAAAAGAAAAAAGAAAGAAAAATGAAGAAAAACATACACCTTAATTACTCAATTAAATAAAAATGGTAAGTTAGAGCACAGTGAAGTCATTCATGTTATCGGGAATATTTTGGAACGTAGGTATAGTTTCATCATCTTCATCTTCCTCTTGTTGGTTATTGCTAAACTCTTCCGCTGCATCATATTCATCAGCCTCCCCTTCTTCAACTCCTTCAATAACAACAACTTCGGGCTCAGCTCCTTCCATAAACCACACAGCTTTGTAACTGGGGTCGGCCTTGTGCTCTTTAGTCAGGATAGACTTCACACCCTTTGTATCTTCTGAATCGCTATCATCAGTTAATCTTTCAGGTCCCTGAATATCTGTGGGATTCTCTGATGGTAGGAAGGTGGTGGCCACTGCTGCTGCTGCGAAAAGGTTAGTTTCTGTCAAAGGCTCTGCTAGAACATCATTGTCAATACTAAAATTCACATTAAAAGGGGAAATGTTGTCATCGAAATCGGTAGAGTTTTCTATCACTAGGTCTTGGCCAGAGATATCTCCTGACTCTTCATCTGTGATTGGTCGTGTTCCTCCATCAAAAGAGTCATAATCCTTGAACGAGAAGTAAAAAAATGATATGTCATTCACAAAACAGAAAATAATTGTGAGACAATGCTCAAATATTAATCTAATCAAATAGTGTGTTATATATATATATATATATATATATATATATTTTTTTTTTTTTTTAAAGCCACATAGAAAAAGTAAATGCTTTACAAGTTATTAATAAGTTACTCAAAAAATATACTCTGGGCAGTGAGCAGAATATTAAGGCATGGTAAAGTATCTTACTAATCTTCTACTTTTAAAAAGGAAACTCCAGGCAGCACCCAACACAGCGTTTACACATTTTTAGCTATTGTCCTAAACAAGTAACTGTATTTTTGTATACCCACTTTTGTTTAGTTTTTACAAAAAGCAAAGCATATTTTGCAGCATTTTGCATATTAACCTTGCCTCCTATTTCCCACCTCCCCATGCTAACATACTTCATGTTTACTGGTTTATTTCCATGCATATAACTCTATTTTTGTGGTTCCTTTTGCCGTCCCTGTCAAAGTGCCGCCTGGAGCCATGGTCTTATTGGGGACCTATGGACGGACCCTCCCTTTACATTATTCACTAAAATGAGAATTCAAAGTGTATTCAATGTGAATATCAAATTTAAAGGAGCATTATAGGGTCAGGAACACAAACATGTATTCCTGACCCTATAGGGTTAAAACCACCATCCAGCCACCCTGGTCCCCTCATGCCTCCCTAAATATAGTAAAATCTTACTTGTATTCAAGTCTGCAGCTGCTTACTCTGTCCCTGTTTCCTTTAGACATGCCCACTGCCTGCTGACATCAGCAGAAGTGGTAGCCTGATCCAATCACAATGCTTCCCCATAGGAATGGTTTACACTGACAAAGAGGCAGATCAGGGGCAGAGTCAGCACAATTCAAACACAGCCTTGGCCAATCAGCATCTCCTCATATAGATGAATTGAATGAATGAATCTGAATGTTTGGATGCATTTTAGGCAGCCATGACCCAGGAAGGATCTCTAACAGCCACCTGAGGAGTGGCCTGTGAAGTTACCACTAGGCTGTAATGTAAACACTGCATTTTCTCTGAAAAGACAGTGTTTGCAGCAAAAAGCCTGAATGTAATAATTCTACTCACCAGAACAAATTCAATAAGCTGTAGTTGTTCTGGTGACTATAGTGTCCCTTTAACCCCTTAAGGACACATGACATGTGTGACATGTCATGATTCCCTTTTATTCCAGAAGTTTGGTCCTTAAGGGGTTAAGGTCAGAGTAACTGGACAAGAAGCATAGATGACTTAGGTAATTTGACATTTGGAATTTACTTTGAATTCTCACTTTAGTTAATAATTTAGCAAATGCTTCTCTCTAAAATAATTATATCTATCTTATTCAGTTCCTTTTTTCATTTTTCCAATGACAAAGTATTTCCAGTACTCTCCAAAATGTTTAAGAAGTGGATCTATGAAATTCATTGGGGATAAACATTTAAAACAAATAGAATACTTTGAGAAACCGTATGGGTTTTTTTTGGAAGGAATATCTGTCATTTACTTGTCTTGATATATTTTGTTATCTTTCAGATGGTCATGTTTGCTTTATTTGTACATCTGTCTGTTTATCTAATTCAAAGAGTACCGGACTTCTAGATAAGATTTTCTCTTACACATTTTGTTTAAATCCATGGTGGTACGTCAGGAAGCACTTACATTTCCTTGCTGTTTTCCCAGTCTGGCTCTTATTTTATCTCCATATTGCTTGTACAGCAAGAATCCCAGACCAACCAAGCACAGAGCAAGGATTGCACCGAGGGATGCACCAACGGCGGCCATATCCGAGGATGAGTAGCCTTTAAAAATTATATTAGAGCCATCACCTGAAAATAAAATGTGGTTGTTAGAACATGATTAACCCCTTTAGGAAACATGACATGTGTGACATGTCATGATTCCCTTTTATTCCAGAAGTTTGGTCCTTAAGGGGTTAAACAAGCAATACCTAATGATTAGCACAGACATAAAGAGATAGAAATCAGAGATAAAAATTATGATAAGGTTCCAGTGCAATTTTAAAATGCAATCAATATTAAAATAGTTAATCTAAATATTAACATGCAAGAAATAGTTTAACAAAGAGTTGATTTAACTAGTGCAGCAACCTTTTCATTATTGTTACAAAAAAAACCAAATAGATAAATTCTTTAAAATGGTGCGCAAATATATATTAAACATACTTATACAATAAAGTGTATTCACTTGTATTCACAGTGGATTATAGTGCCACTCAACACTATAGTGCCTAGGGAGGGTCAGATCTATAGTGTACGTTGGAACCCAACTCTGACATCTCTCATTTACACAGAAGGATGGTCATCGGCCAGTAAATGCAGGTAAATACCTGAAAATAATAATACGGATCTGATCCTCCCGTGGTGCTATAGTGTTGAGAGGCACTACAATCCACTCTTTTTTTTTTCTAAAGCAAGAGGATACATTTGATGGTATAGCTATTTTAAATATATATTTTCACGCCATTTTAAAGGATTTATTTAGATAGGATTCAAAGTGCAAGGGACTAAGATATTAATACATATATAAGAATGTAGCTAAGAAAATAGCAATATAAGTTGGTGGTGATTTAGTGGTCCCGGAGACAAAGTGATGTGCAAAAAAAACATGTACTGAGGAGAGGCAGCAACAGAAGTACCACTGGAATTGCCATCAAATATATATTTAATTTAAGTTTATCTCTACTTTAAGGTGCTAACATAATTGCATGGGTCCAATTACATGGCCAATTAGTTTTTTTTTTTTTTTTTCTTTCAGAAAAGGCGGCAAAAAAAGAACCACCCCAGGAACAGACTAATAGAGATGAAGCCAAACAATTATCCAAATATGGTAGAGTAAGGACATATAAGGGGATAACCCTTGGTTAGATAATAATTAGATAGAAAAAGAGAGGTATGTCCCTGGAAAAAAATTTCAAATTCAAATATTTATTATTTATATGCTAAAAAGAAAATAAACAAAAAGTAACAAGCACACGTGAAAATAATAAAGTGAACCTAGGTCTAAATAGTAGGAAAAAAAAGGGAAAAATAACATAGCACGGATATACACTGGGTAAAGATTAGCTTGGGGGATAATCGAGTGTGTAATAGTGCTAGAGATACAAATGTTACAAAGAGATAGAAATCAGAGATAAAAATAAAGATAAGGTTCCGGTGCAATTTTAAAATGCAATCAATATTAAAATAGTTAATATAAATATTAACATGAAAGAAATAGTTTAACAAAGAGTTAATTTAACAAGTGCAGCAACCTTTTAATTATTGTTACAAAAAAACCCAAATAGATAAATTCTTTAAAATGGTGCGCAAATATATATTAAACATACTTATACAATAAAGTGTATTCACTTGCTTTAGAAAGCAAAAACAGTGGATTATAGTGCCACTCAACCCTATAGCGCCTAGGGAGGGTCAGATCTATAGTGTGCGTTGGAACCCAACTCTGACATCTCTCATTTACACAGAAGGATGGTCATCAGCCAGTAAATGCAGGTAAATACCTGAAAATAATAATACGGATCTGATCCTCCCATGGTGCTATAGTGATGAGAGGCACTACAATCCACTCTTTTTTTTTTTTCTTAAGCAAGAGGATACATTTGATGGTATAGATATTTTAAATATATATTTTCACGCCATTTTAAAGGATTTATTTAGATAGGATTCAAAGCGCAAGGGACTAAGATATTAATACATATATAAGAATGTAGCTAAGAAAATAGCAATATAAGTTGGTGGTGATTTAGTGGTCCCGGAGACAAAGTGATGTGCCAAAAAAAATATGTATTGAGGAGAGGCAGCAACAGAAGTACCACTGGAATTTCCACCAAATATATATTTAATTTAAGTTTATCTCTACTTTAAGGTGCTAACATAATTGCATGGGTCCAATTACATGGCCAATTAGTTTTTTTTTTTTTTTTCAGAAAAGGCGGCAAAAAAAGAACAACCCCAGGAACAGACTAATAGAGATGAAGCCAAACAATTATCCAAATATGGTAGAGTAAGGACATATAAGGGGATAACCCTTGGTTAGATAATAATTAGATAAAAAAGGAGAGGTATGTCCATGGAAAAAGATTTAAAATTCAAATATTTATTATTTATATGCTAAAAAGAAAATAAACAAAAAGTAACCAGCACACGTGAAAATAATAAAGTGAACCTAGGTCTAAATAGTAGGGAAAAAAAGGGAAAAATAACATAGCACGGATATACACTGGGTAAAGATTAGCTTGGGGGCTAATCGAGTGTCTAATAGTGCTAGAGATACAAATGTTACAAAGGATCAAAAGCTGGTAGAGGGAAACACTGTAGCCTAGCCGTTGATATAAGTCATATGATATAGCCTATAAATAGTGTCTCATAGGGTTCTTTCCACCGAGTATACACTTAGTGTAGTATCAAATGCAAGCATAGACACATTGATTAAACCAGATTAAAAAGCCAGAAAAAAAAAAGATTATGGCTGCAGGATCAGGTAAGTAAAAAGAGAAAATATCACGAACAATCAGGTGTAGTAATATAACAATGACTGTTTTACTGCCAAGTAATTTAATCTGGCGGTACCAGCAGGAGAGTGACTAATAAGAAGAAGGTGCTTTCAGGGGCACCTATATAGACCTATATATGTCACAAAAAACTAGAAAGCTCACTGCCTGGTAATCTCGGCTGATAGGGTGCCGGCTGACACCCGTGTCAGATATCGGAAGGTTCTAAAGAGGAGGTAAGTCTGACTGTGCCTTCGAGGGCACCTATCCAAAGTCAAATATCTAGCTAGCTGCCTCAGACTGAGAACGCAAAAGTTCTAGGGCGGAGGTAAGTCTATCTGTGCCTTCGAGAGCACCTATCTGTTAGAAATAGCTATCTAGCTGCCTGTCTCTAAGAAAGAACCAAAAGTCCGGGAAAATGACCCTCGTAACCTAAATTATCAAGCGTCTTGCTGGAGACTCAAGGAGAATATACTTGTATGTCAGGGTAGGTAGGTAGGGTCATAAAAGTGTGATGCGCTTTTGATCCTTTGTTACATTTGTATCTCTAGCACTTTTAGACACTCAATTAGCCGCCAAGCTAATCTTTACCCAGTGTATGTCTGTGCTATGTTATTTTTCCCCTTTTTTTTTCTCTCTCCTATTACCATTTAGACCTAGGTTCACTTTATTATTTTCACGTGTTCTGGTTACTTTTTGTTTATTTTCTTATTAGCATATAAATAATAAATATTTGAATTTTAAATCTTTTTTTAGGGACATACCTCTCTTTCTGTATCACCCCAGGAACAGGCACCACCATACTTGTCCAGATATGCTTACAGATATAAGGGAATGTTTTAACTTGATCAAAAGACATGTAGTACGCAAGATGATTCCAAACTGCTACGACTCAGTCACAAAGGAAAAGCCACACGTACGATGGGCACTCGGCTAGCAAACTATATTTGTGTTAAGCTTCAAACCGTATTCAATAAGATGTTCTCAGGGTTTCACTAACAATGAGCTTCCAGGAGAGATCATCTCCATTGGGAATTGTAACGTCAGAAATCCAACAACAATAGATGTTTTAGACCTTGATTGTCCTTGATAAAATCTAAAAACCAAAATAAAGACTCTTGTTCCCTATATAAGAGTTCAAGCATGGGGTTTCCCTCTGCACCCATCATTAGGTAACAGCGGATTACTTTTTGTTCTTGTTACGTGTTTAGTTACTAATGGGCTGTATTGACATTGGTTCCAAAGTTCCAAGGAAATTAATAGTGCATCCTGTCATTGGCTCCTGCAAACATTCTGTCGAAGTCAAGACATTTAGGCAATAGAAATTCATTTAATGGCATGTGGCTCTATTGCCTAGGTATATGTTGTCTTCAGTCCTTGGTGTCTATCTTTGCCTTGTTTTAGATCGGCTGCTAGTTGTTACTAGACATCTATCATTATAGTTTTTGTTATAGACATATTTATGTGTAAATGCAGTTGTAAGAGGTGTATATGACTTTTCCTACTGTTATAACTGTTGCATTTTTGGAAAATAGATACCTAAGACATGTAGAACTTGACCTTAATGCTTTCAACGTGTAGAAACAAATGCACAGAGGTCCAGCACGTTGGCACTTTACAGCTGTTTATAGCAATATTGTGATGTATACACATACACACATTGCCCCACACACAGACTGCCCCCTACACATACACTGCTCCCCATACTCACATTGCCTACACACATTGCCCCACACACACATACACTGCTCCCACGCACACACCATACACATTCACACACTTCCCCCATACACACATTGCCCCACACACACATACACTGCCAACACACACCCATACACAGCCCCACATACACACATACACTGCCCCCATACACACATTGCCCCACACACCCTACACATTCACTCACTACACCCCCCCCACACACACTGAACCTTTCACACACACTCCCCCACTCACACACACCACTGCTCCTATGCCCTACTACAGCCTCAAATCCCAGCAGACCCCAGGTATGTTGTCAAACTGTTCTTAAACAGTTTAACCCCTTCAGCCCAGCGGGAGGGGGGCCCTGAGGGTGGGGGAGACCTAATGACCCTATAGTGCCAGGAAAACGAGTTTGTTTTCCTGGCACTATAGTGCTCCTTTAATATTAAGTGGCCTTTTATTGTGACCAGCCTAAGGCACACATGTGCAATAATCATGCTGTCTAATCAGGATTTTGATATGCCACACCTGTGAGGTGAACGGATTAACTAGGCAAAGGAGAAGTGCTCACTAACACAGATTTAGACAGATTTGTGAAAATATCTGAGAGAAATGGGCCTTTTGTGTACATAGAAAAAGTCTTAGATCTTTGAGTTCTGTTCATGAAGAATGGGGGCAAAAACAAAAGTGTTGCGTTTATAATTTTGTTCAGTGTATTACTGGCTCAGAATCCATGGGCACACTCTGGGCTGGCGGATGGAGTGGTAAACACGAGGGAGAAATGTTTTTCTTTATGAATGAAATTAATTAACTAAAATACCTATATTTCAATTTTAGAATAGTTTTTTTAAACAGAGAACATTATGAGTATGTTAAACCTGGTCATATGTCTTCCTGATCAGAAGTCACATATGCAGAATTTAGGGAGTACCAACTATATATCATCGTTTGGTAATGCCTATCACATGGGTTATGTCTCTCTCATGAGTAGTATAAATGGTGTTTGCCCTTGGGGGAAGTAACACTAGTGTAAATAGTCAGGGCCGGACTGGGAAAAAAATTCGGCCCGGGCATTTTTTTATCACAGCTGCCCACTAAGAAGGGGGCGGGGCAGAGAGGGTGTGTTTTGTCATCACTCATGACAAACACGCCCCCTCTCAAAGTGAGCATGTTGGTTCAATGCTCTTCCAGGGCAGACCATGCAAGAAAAAAGCCCTGTATTTGTTCTGCACAGTGCAAGCAAATTCAATAACATGCTTGCACTGTGTTTCCTTGCAACTTGTCTCTGGTGTCTCTATAAATGGATACCAGAAGACAAAAGGGCCAGGAAAGAGTATTGTAAATGTGTTTGGAGCCTGCTTGGGGTATTGCGTGTGTGCAGAGTGAGCTGGTCGTGGTGTGGTATTGTGTAATAAGGTCGGTTTTAGTCGTGTTGTGTTTGTGGTGTAATGTAATGCATATGTGGCTGGGGCTTTAGAGAATGTGTGTTTAGGGGATGTAGCAAGTGTGTGTATACAGGCTATAGTGTGTGTGTGTGTAGGTGATGTAGTGTTTGTAGAGAGTGTGTGTTCAGGGAATGTAGTATGTGTTTGCTTACAAGGAATCTAGTGTGCGTATAGGGGATCCAGAGTGTATGTGTGTTTTTTGAAGGACCCAGAATATGTATAGGAGATCTAGTGAGCATGCGTATATAATGGATTCAGAGTGTATATAGGGATCTAGTGTGTGTATGTGTGTAGATGATCCAGAGTTGGGTAGAGGATCTAGTGTGTGTCTGGAATGAAATGTGTTTAGGGGTGCTGTGTGTGTGTGTGTGTGAGGGGTGCTGTGTGTATATTTATATGTGTATATATATTATATAAATATGTTTGGAAGTATTGTGTATGTGTGTGATGCAGTGTATCGGGGGGTTGTGTGTGTATGTGAGGGGTGCAGTATGTGTGTGTGATGGATCCTGTGTGTGAGGTGTGGGTGCTGTGTGAGGGTGTTGTGTGTGTGAGGGTGCTGTATGTGTGGGTGCTGTATGTGATTGATTTGTGTGAGGGTGCTGTGTGTGTGGGTGCTGTGTATGATGTGTGTGAGAGTGTTGTGAGTGCTGAGTGTGAGTGCTGAGTGTTATGTGTTTGAGAGTGATGTGTGAGAGTGCTGAGTGCTGTGTGTGAGAGTGTTGTGTGTGATAGTGCTGTGTATGAGTGTGAGAGTGCTGTGTGAGAGTGTTGTGTGTGACAGTGCTGTGTTTGTTGTGTGTAAAATAGTGCTGTGTGTGTTATGTATGAGAGTGCAGAGTGTGATGTGTGTGAGAGTGCAGAGTGTGATGTGTGTGAGAGTGCAGATTGTGAGAGTGCTGTGTATGATGTGTGTGAGAGTGCTGAATGTGAGAGTGCTGTGTATGATGTGTGTGAGAGTGCTGTGTATGATGTGTGTGAGAGTGCTGAGTGTGATGTGTGAGAGTGCAGAGTGTGATGTGTGAGAGTGCTGTGTATAAATGTGTGTGTGTGTGTGGGGGTAAATAAAGAAATTAAAAAAAAACTAAGTAGGCATTAAATCCCCCCCTCCCTCTGACCTTTAGCCTGGGAGGGGGGACAGGCACGTGGTAGCTGGGAGGAGGGGGACCGGCACGGTGACATCATCCCTGGTGGTCCAGTGGTGAGTGAACGCAGAAAGAGATACAGAGAGGCTGGAGTAGGGGCAAAAGAGACAGAAAGGGGAAGGGCAAAATAGACAGACAGGGGCTGGGGCAGGGGTAAAAGAGACAGAGGAGCTAGGGGGACACAGATCGACTGTGGGGAGTAAGAGAAAATGTGCTGGGAGGGAAGAGACACTCAGAGGGACTAGGAGAATAATGAGACAAAGAGAGAAAAGGATAGACAAAAGTGGCTGAGGGGAGAAAAAGACATGGCTTTTGGAAGGGGAGAAAGAGATGCAGAAAAGGGGCTTGGTGAAGAGACACACAGAAGGGATGGGGAAAGGGAGAGAAAGACAGAAAGAAGCTGGGGAGGGGAAGAGACACAGAGAAGCTGAGGAAGGGGAGAAGAGTCACATGAAAAGTCTGGTGTAGAAAGACACACAAAGGTGCTGGGGGAGAAAGAGAAACACAAAGGGGCTGGTGGGAGAAAGACACACAGATGGAAAAAATGGGGGGAATAAGATATACTAAAGGGAGTGTAAGACAAAATAGGGATAAGATGCACTAAAGGGGGTAAGACTTTCAAAAGAATAGATAAGAAACACAAAAGCAGATAAGAAATTCAAGGAGGGAATTAAGAGACACACAGCTGAAGATGCATTTTTGGGTGAAAATTAGGGGGGGCAGGGCGGGGCGGAAAAATTCATCTTCGTCTGTGTAGCCAAAAATTCTTGCACCGGCCCTGTGTGAGTAAGATAGTGAGGAGACCATTGTATTGGAGAACCAGCCTCCCTTATCCATCCACCACTGATTGGTCAAGCTTCCTCTATGCTCTTTCTCCCCACCATTGAAAGCAAGGAAGAAAGATTCTCAACAAACTAGCATGAGGCCTTCATCTCCTAACTGCATTGGATTCTAGACTAGACACAATGGTGCCTGTTTCAGTGCTATTAGAAATGCCAAGATGTGCCTGTTATACTAATAGCGATCATTATGCCAGGCTTCATTTGGTGCTTCTCCCAGAGGTGTTATTGATTATGGTCTATTTTTCAGGTATGGTATATATATATATATATATATATATATATATATATTGGTACTGCTTCTAGATACGGTACTAGCAGTGGTACCAATAAAAGGATTAGTAGTAGAAGTGGTAAGTAAGGGTGCTTGTAGGGTTGTTTTTTTCGTTAGCTGTACTTGCAGTCATACCTGTTCCAGTACTGACACTTGTAGCTGTGTCTGTTCCAGTAATTACACTTTTAGTGGTGCCTGTCCCAGGAGTGGTACTTATGGTGGAGCCTGTTCCTGGAGTTGTACTTCTAGTTGTGCCTGTTCCAAGAGCTATAGTTGTTGTGGTGCCTGTTCCTCTAGTGGTACTTGTTGTTGTGCCTGTGCCAGAAGTAGTACTTGAAGCTGCTCCTGTTACAGGAACTTTATTTGTAGTTGTGCCTGTTCTAGGAGTAGTACTTGTGGTAGTGCCTGTTCCTGGAGTGGTACTTGTAGAGGTGCCTGTTCCAGGAGTGATACTTATTGTTGTTCCTGTTCTAGGAGTGGTACTTGTAGTTGAACCTGTTCCACGTGTAGTAGGAGTGGTATGTGTAGTGGTGCCTGTTCCAGAAGTTGTACTTGTAGTTGTGCCTGTTCCTCGAGTAGTACTAGCAGTGGTGCCTATTCCTGGAGTAATATTTCTAGTGGTGCCTGTTCCAGTAGTCGGTTTTATTGTTGTTCCTGTTCCACGAGTTGTACTTGTAGTGGTTCCTGTTCCAGAAGTGATACTTGTAGTGGTACCTGTTCCAGAAGTGGTTTTTATTGTTGTTCCTGTTCTAGGAGTTGTACTTGTAGTGGTTCCTGTTCCAGAAGTGGTTCTTATTGTAGTTCCTGTTCCAGGAGTGGTGCTTCCAGTGGTACCTGTTCCAGGAGTGTTTTTTATTGTTGTCCCTGTTCCAGGAGTTGTACTTATAGTGGTTCCTGTTCCCGGAGTTGTACGTGTAGTGGTTCCTGTCCCAGGAGTGGTACTTGTAGTGGTACCTGTTCCAGAAGTGGTTCTTATTGTTGTCCCTGTTCCAGGAGTGGTACTTGTAGTGGTACCTGTTCCAGAAGTGGTTTTTATTGTTGTCCCTGTTCCAGGAGTGGCACTTGTAGTGGTGCCTGTTCCAATAATAGAACTTGTAGTACTGCGTGTTCCAGTAGTAGTACTTATCATAGGAGTAGTAGTAGTTGGTGCAGGTGTGGTGATGCCTAAATAAAAATTAAGAGATTTTAAGAATGTATTCCATAATCTTATATCTGGCAGTATCAACTTTGCTTAGGAATGGCAGCATATTACTCCTGTTGTACTATATAGTTTCACTGACTGTACATATTTCTATAGACATCATTGTGATAATTAATTTTATAATACCAAAGATTAGACACGTGCTTTTGGTTTCAAACTAATTGCAATTTGTCCAAATTTTGGGCAGTTGGCGGGTCTTTTATATTCCGTAACGCTGAAATAGACTTCCATATGGATGAATCACGAGGCAAACAAAACGACAATTAACAAACCGTTTTGTTTGATTTGTGACTCGGATTTCTAACCATGGCGCCAAAAAACAAGATAAATGATGGTTTTAGGACAGCCACTAAATGTTGATTTTATTCACAGATCAAGTGAGAAGTGAACAACGGATGCAAAAAAAGGAGGAAGAATAAAAACAAAAATCCCTCAAACTATATTTATATATCATATATTTAATAAATATAGAATATATAAAAATATATTTTTTTATTGCTACCTCTCGTTTTCCCTCTAATGGTTACTTATTATCAGTTGATCAGTGAACCTAATTGTGCAGAAATGAACCTATCAGTGTAAGCAAATGTATTTTAATAATCAATTCTACTTCAGTATTTTCCTCTCACAGCAATTTCAAGATAAAACAGCAAACAATTTACTAATGATGATGTCCAGAAATATTAACAAAGTATAAACTATTTTATGGCCTTTTCCAGGTACTGCTACTGTGGGAGTTGTAAGCCAAAAACAGCAAAGGGGAGGATTTTAAGATTGTTTAAATTAAAGAGCACCCCTAAAATAGTTTGTATCAATTATGATCAATTTGTTACATTAAAAATGAGAAATCTCACACTAAGCTACCTTCTGACTTAAAGAAATGCATGATCCACATGATCAATATCAATTCAGTTCAACCTTGATGTAACGAAAGGCTGAATACTTTGGGGTCTGGTTAACCCAGTCATCTCAGTCAGTTATTGACATCCAGGTTCGACATCATTGATAGTGAAACTTAGGATAGAATTGATAACTGTGAAAGCAGCACTGTCACTGTCTGGGGACTTTGCCCAATTCGCAAAGACCACCGACGGTGACATTATCACTGGGGTTCCGTTGCCCTGGCGAAGGCAAGTAAAGGTGAGATTTACTTCTTGCTCCCATCTTGTTCCGGTGGCTCCTCTTCATTAGCCAAAGTACACCGTGGAGGTCTATGGAGGATCCTGTGAGACCATGATAGGCAGAGCCAATTCCCTGCAGCCAACACTGGTGGCAGCTGTCGAGGTTGACACTGTACTTCTGCCCAGAGTCTAAAAAAGTCAGATGGAGGAAATATACAGAGACAAAGTAGTCCATACTTAGTCTCAGTATATCTCTTGACTGGTTGGAAATCTCAGTGAAATTCCAACACAATCAAAATGAGTATTTCATAAAATTTCTATCTGTATTTTTTTTCTATTCACGATATTATCTCTTATTACTGTATAATGATCCATGATATGAAACATACGTTTGATGACCCAGAAACATAAGTTTGATGGTTAAAAAACACTCCACTTCCCAAATATGAATCACTGTTAAGCAAATATTCCCAAACATACACATATTTAATTATGCATTTTTTATTTTACAAAAGGTATATCTAAAGTAGCTTGTAAAAGCTGCAGAACTCTTGTCTGCAGCCTTTGCAAGCCCTCCCCTCCTAACCCAGCCCAGACTATCTGTGTCTGTCCAATCAAAAACTTTCCAGTGCAGCTCAATGAGAAGTCTTTGCAAGACGGTGATCTGAGCAAGTACCTGCCTTTTGAATTTTGCTCAACTGAGCTAAACAACCAGGAAGTTAAAGGACTGGTTGTTTGATTGACAACCAGAGGGGTGTGGTGGCAAGGTTGCAAGGTTAATTCATAAAATTAAGTATTTCTGTTGAAATTTGTACTTTTTATAAAATGGAAAAGAAGAGGACTCTTCACAAATAAAGCTTTTAATCAAGCTGAAGTGCAATAGGGTTCTAGAATGCCCATTTAAAGCATTGACATATGAATTACAACTGTTGGATGGAGTTCAGTTGTAAGAATATTTATTTTCATTTTTTAAAATCAAGAATAGAATAAATTATTTGTTCAGGAAATCCTACCTGGGGTGATCTCCACTGTGACTGACGTGGTAGCTAATTCATTAGTGACACTGTCAGTTGCAGTTACCTGTGTAAGGGAATAAAATATTAAGATTTTAAGGGAACATTAAGGTTTTCTATCTAAAAAGTAATACAATTACATAGTTACATAGTTACATAGCTGAAAAGAGATTTGCGTCCATCAAGTTCAGCCTTCCTCACATTTGTTTTTTGCTGTATTTATTATGATTTTTTTTAATCGATTAAAAATAAAAATTTCCATCTAATAAAAATAATAATTCAGTATCAATTATGATTTATTATTGCATCTTCAACCGGTTTCTAAAAAGATTTAAAAAAAAATATGACATTACTATGTTAATGGCAGCCACTATAACTACACTGCCTGGAGTTTATGCTCTAGTATTCTACATGGGAGGTTACTAAATATCCACCAGTCCTTTCGTGTACCTTTCTGCTTCACTCTTTAACACATCTCTCAGTCTCACCATGTTCAACAAACTCTATATTACAACACTGCTCTTGGATGCTAACTACCCAAGCTCTCTTCTTGTAATTTGGTTTACAGTATTGTTAAAATGAAGCAGAGAACGACATAACTGCCCTACTCTACTCACCCCCTTCCCTGTGCTTTGGGTTAAGGGTAAAATTATTTAAAATGGGAAGGACCTGTGCACCCAGACATAGGTGAGAGGTAGAATGTATTACAGTTCCAAGAGAGCTAAACACAGTCTGGATTTCTACATTCAACTTCATTTTTCAAACCCAACAAACACATATTATCTTTAAAAAAAATACGTAAACTAAATATTAGAGATCTTTGTAAGTGACAGTTGCCTTTTAAGGATACAAAGACATGATTAAGGGGAACTTAAGAATAGGAAGCTTTGGGTTAAGGGGGACATATTGTTAAGGGGTACCTGACTTCAAGATTTGAGGATTATAGCTCCCATCAGCCCAGATGTGAGTGATTTTATTTAAAGCCCACAGTATCTGGAAGGCAAGTACTCTCTAATGCTAAGACCCTTACCTTACGCCCTGTGACAAAATACTGTGTTTTATTATCCCAGTTACTTCCCCTGTGCTCAGTAAATGAATCTACCGAACACCAACCACCGACCACCCTCTGGCTCATTGAACTTCAAAGAAACCACAGACTTAAGTACTCTACCTGTGTGGCCGCCGTTCATATAACCAAACAACATGTGCTGAAGAAAATGGCGGCCATCTTATTGCACGAACGCAGGCAGCGGGACTTGGTCGTCGAGTGTATGGAACTGTAAGTCAGATACTCGACCGTTTGAACACCGGTGATTTTACACAAATGCCTTCTTCTTTTCCCAACAAGACAGGAGAGCGCTGTTTGTTAGGATTGCTTGCACGAACTAGGCAAACAATCGCTACCTATGAGCCAGGGGAACCATTCGACATTTTGTTTGGTTCTGAACTCCTGAAAGTGACTGACCGCTACCACTATTTCTCTGGAACTAATTTGGGCAGACGCTACGTGGGTGGTTGGCCAAAACTCTACCCTGGTGGCAATTTGTCTGTGTTCGTGGGATCTGAGCGCTATTTGGACAACTTGGGTGCTCAGATCCAGGATATCCTGGGATATAATGCTTGTGGGGGTTCATATATATATTATGTATATTTTTAATATTTTATGTTTTATACTTTGGAACTCTAATGCCTGGGAGATAATTAGTTTAAGCAAAGTACACTAAATTAACTCCGAGACACAAAGACTCCGGGCGTGTTGTGGGAGTGTTTGGGGCATGTTTTACTATGCTTTTGCTTGAGACCCCATGCTGGGGTCTGTGTATATAAGAGGGCCATTTGGTCGGAATAAAACATTCCAGTTGTACATTTCATCATGTCTCAACTGATGTTTGGGTATGTGAACGGCGAACCGATTTATTTATTTTCACGGCCGGATTGGATTTCGGGAGAGTACGAACTAGCATACTATGCGAACGGCTTATACTCACTAAGCCTCTAGCATTTCGGTAGTGTGTAAACGAACGTACTTCACGAAGTACAGGAGGTACTTTACATGCCCTGCAACCCAAGCCACCCTGAACCCTAAACAACAACCCTAAGGTTCCTCCTAACTCAAATGTTGTCACTACAGCACCATGTACAGCATTGTGCCCCTTGCTGTAATGAAGCTCATTATTATACATGGCACTATAATACTGTATTCCCATTGTGACAACATTATAACATCACTAGGATAACACTCACCTTTTTCAATCCAACATTTCCATATCAAAATGGAGTAGTGGTATACACTCTATCTTTTCCTTTCCAGAAATCCAGACCCTTGATTTCCTCTAGTTACACACACTATATCTTGGATCCAAAGCCAAAATCATTCCTAAATATATTAATATATTATTACAGAATATTCTGATAAAATTATATTTAAACTTACCATAAAATTTGTGGAGGATGGGGATTGGAATTCTGCATTGGTCCTGATAAAGCCATCACGAGTAATGGTGAAATTATTATTACCTTGAATTATATAAATAATGTTTGGGTTCACCTTCTACAAAAGAGGGGAAAAAATAACAATCTGGCTCAAACAGCACTTCTTTATGTTGTGCACTAATTATTTATATATATTCAATATTTTCTCGAATAGAATTTGGTAGCAAATTACATATTTTCTTGTTACTTTTAAATCCTAGTGCAAACCATGAACAATCACACTATTTTCTCATAAACCACCACCCTGTATGAGCTTTACTCATACACCCTTTTTAACCCCTTTTGTCTTTCACATTCCCCTCTTTCTGTATTAGTCCCTTTCTTCCTTCCCCCATTGTTCTTCTTATACCACCATGTCAGTCTCTGGTCCTCTTCAGATATCACAGATATCAACAGCCCTTCTTTCTCTCCTCTTATTATTCTAATTCCACTCTTTTATAATATCTTTTTTTGTTCTTTAGCCCTTTACAATGTCCTATGCTGCTACCAGCATTTATTCTTTTCATCCTCTCTATGGTTTTCATGCACACTGCATTTTATCCTTTCCATCCACCGATTCCACCCCTTAACCCTACCTTTCTCAATTTTCTTGTCCTTCTTGGCACCACTTTCATTTTTAGGCCTGCTCCATTATACATTTCAAACTATGTGTTCTTTTAATTTAGCCTGTCTTGTCTTCCTCAATCACCATTTTTTTCTTCAGTCTTTTTCAACGTTCCTTCTTTATCCTTAGTTCTTCCTCTTGTCTCTTGACTCACCTCTTTTTCATCTCACCTTCTAGCTCTACATAATTTTACCCTGTCATTCTCAGCTACCAATTGTAATGTGAAATTTAACTTTCACCTTACATTTTCCCCCTTTGTCATACTCTGTCCCCTTTGAGGACCATAAGATTACCGTCTTCAATATAAAAATAATAATAATTTTTTTCCCTTCAAGAATGTATTTGAACAAAATAAAACCATTTCCACACTTGTGTCACACTTGCTAGATCCATTTGTTGATAAGAACTAAGATTTTGACTCAAAACAAAAAAAAAAGTATTTTAAGTTCTTAATCAGATGATACAGGCAATTAAAAACATGGGACAAATACATCCCTTGGACCGATTCAATTATCAGGATGCTCTTCTTGGGAAAAGTCCAGTGGCATGAAAGTTTACAGAGTAGTTTTTAATAGGATGGACCATAACCTACATTTGTTTTTCAAATGAGACAAGTAAATCCAAAAGGATTGGAAAATGAACAATTCATCTAAATTGCTAGAAAAGTTTTATTACCTGCCATTTGTCAGTTTTAGTACTATTCTAGTAAAAGGTCCTGCCAAAATAACTTTTTTTGGTTGCATGGAAAGGTTAAAGAGGATTTTTTGAGACATGGCAGAGATATTAGGTCTAGTGAAAATTTAATTTTAAATTTATATTGCAGTACACTTAAATAATGTGGTTTGTAATCCACTTGTAAAATTTACACATAGTGAATGAATGCCAATACTGGATCTTTGCCCTAGAAACATTGTCTAAAGAACAATCTTAACCAATGAGTAATTCTTGTCAAATAGCCCATTCACTGCAGGTTAAAACATTTTGGATATCTTACATCAGGGAAATCTTCATCCATGGCAAATACTTGTAGGGGTTTATTTGGACTACTCGAATCAAGTATGAAACTTCCAATTTCAGAACCAGAGGTTATCTGCCCAAGGTAACTGCTATTTTCAAAGGTTGGTGGGTGACCATTTTTATCCAGGACTTCAATTTGGACTGTTGTCATGGCATACTGTAAGGGATCATTTGCTTGTTGACCCTACAAATAGCATAGACACAGGTGCAGTTATTTTTCATTATCATGGGATGGACATTGAGAAATACAGACACTGTATTACATGGTATGCTTTACATTTATCTATGTGACCAACAACTATGACCAGCTGATGATTTAGATGGGTGTGTAAACAATTCTGTATAAGGTACACAGTGCTTAATAGCTTGTACTATGGAATGATGACCTACATCAAGCATGTCAAAATTTAAAGGCTAAAATGGGCCAAATAAACAAGGTTTAAGTTTACGTGGGCTGCAAAAAAACAAAAATTTCAGTTTTCATAGAAATGTAGGTTTATTTCGAAACATACAGTATAAAAACAGTTGCCTAACTGACATTGGACGTCCTCATGCTGGTAGGGCTTCGAAGTAAACAAAACAGCGGATTTATTTTAAGGAGACGTGCATTTGCATATAACCAATGTTTCAGTCACATTACCTTGACATATTAAGAAAAGTTTGTTAATGGGACTGAAATGGTGAATGTATGCTGTTGCACAGCTGAAAAAAACTAATTACGTTATCTTGTTGATTTTGAAGTCCTATGAGTGTGCTCTTCACTGTGGCTGAGATCATCAAACTTTCCCATAGGAAAGCATTGCGAGGCTATTGTGCATGTGTGGCAAAAAGCTGTGCAGCCAATTAGCATCTCCATGGGGATCGTTCAACGCCTCCATGCAGATCCAATCTAATACACTGCCCACTCATTCCATTCTAATACACTTCCTACAAATCCAATACATTGCCCACAAATCCAATATACTGCCCCTCTTTGCTCCACTCTAATACATTGCCCTTTAATCTAATACACTGCCCCTCCCCCCTCCACTGTAATGGAATACACTGCCCCCACTCCCACCTCTCTAATTTAATACACTGCCCTCCCTTACCCCAATTTAATACACTGCCCTAAGTTTACATTGCTGCCTAGGAACACGTCTAGTGGCAGACACTCAGACAGCCACTAGAGGTGCTTCCTGGGTCAATGCTGCACGATGTGCAGCACCTTTGTTCAGTATCTCCACTCTATGTATGGAGGCCCTGAACATTCCTCATGGAGATGCATTAATGCATTGAGATGCAAGCACAATACCCTCCCAATGCTTTCCTATAGGAAAACATTAGATTAGCTCAGATAGTAAATTTTGATGATCTCAGCCAAGGAGGCAATGTGTGCTGCCAGCCTTAAAAGTACCCGTATAGTTCTTGGAAAAAAAAGTGAGTTTTAACAGGGGTAAAGGGTGGCCTGGAAGCTAAACAGCGCATTTAGACCTATACTGTCAAGAATGCATGTTTGTGTTCCTGACACTATAATCTTTCTTTAAGGTACAATTGGTGCCTCTCTCACTACAGTGACCAAACATTTCATGTATAGATTACCCTTGAAAGATGCCATATATACTTTCTCACAAATGGCTGCTTCATAGAATTGTCACAACATATTAAATGTGTTCTCCAACAAGCACTAAGTAACTACAATGCCATTCATTAAGGCTCTGCTTACCATGACCTGCATGATAATTGGTCTCAGCTGATCAGCTGTTTTTAACATTGTTATGTTTCCAGTCAACTGGTCCATAGAAAAGATGTTTTCATTATTCCCTGCCAAGAAAAATGGAATACTTAAAAATGTTTATTTAATTATTGGAAAAAAAGGTTGCTATCAAGAAAATGCACTTAAAAAACAAATCAATCATATCCCAATATCATTATTTGTGGTTTCTTGTTTGTGAAAAAAAATGGTATAATGTACTGACAAAATGTGACAGTACTTCCAAACTAATGTTATATAGAGTTATATAGAATTCTAAAGATTATCATAAACAGGCCAACCTAATGTCCCTTCCCCAGCCCTGACTCATGATATACAATGGGAGGTTGACATACTACAGGGAGTGCAGAATTATTAGGCAAGTTGTATTTTTGAGGATTAATTTTATTATTGAACAACAACCATGTTCTCAATGAACCCAAAAAACTCATTAATATCAAAGCTGAATATTTTTGGAAGTAGTTTTTAGTTTGTTTTTAGTTATAGCTATGTTAGGGGGATATCTGTGTGTGCAGGTGACTATTACTGTGCATAATTATTAGGCAACTTAACAAAAAACAAATATATACCCATTTCAATTATTTATTATTACCAGTGAAACCAATATAACATCTCAACATTCACAAATATACATTTCTGACATTCAAAAACAAAACAAAATCAAATCAGTGACCAATATAGCCACCTTTCTTTGCAAGGACACTCAAAAGCCTGCCATCCATGGATTCTGTCAGTGTTTTGATCTGTTCACCATCAACATTGCGTGCAGCAGCAACCACAGCCTCCCAGACACTGTTCAGAGAGGTGTACTGTTTTCCCTCCTTGTAAATCTCACATTTGATGATGGACCACAGGTTCTCAATGGGGTTCAGATCAGGTGAACAAGGAGGCCATGTCATTATATTTTCTTCTTTTATACCCTTTCTTGCCAGCCACGCTGTGGAGTACTTGGACGCGTGTGATGGAGCATTGTCCTGCATGAAAATCATGTTTTTCTTGAAGGATGCAGACTTCTTCCTGTACCACTGCTTGAAGAAGGTGTCTTCCAGGAACTGGCAGTAGGACTGGGAGTTGAGCTTGACTCCATCCTCAACCCGAAAAGGCCCCACAAGCTCATCTTGATGATACCAGCCCAAACCAGTACTCCACCTCCACCTTGCTGGCGTCTGAGTCGGACTGGAGCTCTCTGCCCTTTACCAATCCAGCCACGGGCCCATCCATCTGGCCCATCAAGATTCACTCTCATTTCATCAGTCCATAAAACCTTAGAAAAATCAGTCTTGAGATATTTCTTGGCCCAGTCTTGACGTTTCAGCTTGTGTGTCTGTTCAGTGGTGGTCGTCTTTCAGCCTTTCTTACCTTGGCCATGTCTCTGAGTATTGCACACCTTGTGCTTTTGGGCACTCCAGTGATGTTGCAGCTCTGAAATATGGCCAAACTGGTGGCAAGTGGCATCGCGGCAGCTGCACGCTTGACTTTTCTCAGTTCATGGGCAGTTATTTTGCGCCTTGGTTTTTCCACACGCTTCTTGCGACCCTGTTGACTATTTTAAATGAAACGCTTGATTGTTCGATGATCACGCTTCAGAAGCTTTGCAATTTTAAGAGTGCTGCATCCCTCTGCAAGATATCTCACTATTTTGACTTTTCTGAGCCTGTCAAGTCCTTCTTTTGACCCATTTTGCCAAAGGAAAGGAAGTTGCCTAATAATTATGCACACCTGATATAGGGTGTTGATGTCATTAGACCACACCCTTCTCATTACAGAGATGCACATCACCTAATATGCTTAATTGGTAGTAGGCTTTCGAGCCTATACAGCTTGGAGTAAGACAACATGCATAAAGAGGATGATGTGGTCAAAATACTCATTTGCCTAATAATTCTGCACTCCCTGTATTGTCTACCCCCTCCCCACAAAATTGTTGCACCATGGAAAAAATAAATAAATAATATATATGTTGGGCCTGGGACCCTGGGCTGGGGACTCTGACTGATCTCCCCCTTGCTCAACTATTTCTAGCCCGGCCAAAAACAACTTCTCCATCCCCTCCCCAACAAGTTGCAGAGCTGGGACCACATCTTCCATGATGGTTCCCAGAACAAAGTGTGCTGGCTGCGCAATCGCGTCCTCCTTACCTGATCACGCAGCATTCAGTGATAGGAACTCTACCGGTCAGCCTCTCCTCTCTGCCCCTCTGACAGTGATGCAGAGCTGGGATCACATCCTCCTGGATGGATCTCAGAGCAAAGCTCTGGATGCAGTGAGGTCCCAGTATCCATACCGCACCCCACTATCCCTTGTCATCGTCGGCTCTCTCTCACTGTCTCCTCTCTATTGTCTGCTGCAGCCCCTACTAGCTCTGGTTAGTCTATTGGACTAAGATAATATTTCAAAGACAAGCTTTCAAGAGTTTTCCTCTCTTCCTCAGGTATGAAGCAATCGGTGGCGGATCCAGAGCCTAATCTCGGTAGGGGCACGTGTAGATTTTTTAAAGAAATAATCCAGACACAATAACCACTACAGCTCAGTGTAGTGGTTATGGTGTCAATAGTGCCGGGACCCCCTCCCAGAGTAAGTAGTCAAACCATTTAAGAACAGTTTGACAATTTACCTGCAGCATGTGAGTGAGGGCGGCAGTGTATGTCAGGGGTGCAGTGTGTGTGTGTGTGTTAGGGGGGCAGTGTATGTGTAGGGCAATGTGTGTATGGGGATCAGTGTGTGTATGGGGGCAGTGTGTGTGTATGGGGGCAGTGTGTACGTATGGGGGTAGTATGTGTGTGTAATGGGGCAGTGTGTGTATGGGGGGCAGTGTATGGGGTCAGTGTGTGTATGGGGGGCAGTGTGTGTATGGGGGCAATGTATGGGGGGCAGTGTGTGTGTATGGGGCAATGTGAGTATGGGAGCAGTGTATGTGTGTGTGGGGGGTGGAGGGGGTAGACAATGTGTGTGTGTGTGATTATGAAAAAGCCCCCTACCCGTCACACACATTTCTCCCTCCCCCCCACGCACATACACTGTCCCCATACATACATAATAATTACATTTGAAAAAAACAACACATATTATAAAAAAAGCCCCCCAACCCTTCTTATATGTTTTTTTTTTCAATTTAATTTAATTAAAACACACATTCTTTATGTCCCCCCTCCCTTCTTACCTTTACTGGGAGGAGGGGAGACATTTCTGGATCCCTGGTGGTCCGTGGGGAATCCCTGGTGGTTCCAGGGCTAGAGTTCACTCTCGCAAGATTTGGAGAGTTGCCATGGTAACCGCTGCAACGCTCCGTGCTTGCGAGAGTAGGACCCGGAGGAGCTGCAGGCTGAGCTCCGGGGTCCTCTCTCTCTCCATCTCCCTCCCCTGCCGGCTGCCAGCACGTGCCTGCGGACCGGGTAGGGAGATCGCTGATATCCCTGCCCGGTCCGCAGACATATTGCAGGGCTGGCACTTGGACAATGCCAGCCCTGCATTAGCTGGCAGGGGAGAATCTCGGAGGGGGGGGGCAATTGCCCTGTTGTCCCCCCCGGATCTGCCACTGGAAGCAATACTGATCAATCTGATAGAGTTTAACACTTAAAACAACTGATGTTAGAGAAGGGTAGGGAGGGGGGATGAGTGGGTTGTCATAAATAAATACTTTGCCTCATCATTCCACTTTATACATGGATTCCTTGGAGTATGTGTCTGCTGTATACAACGGCACAACTCAGGAAGAGGAGCAAAGCCAGTGAACCGCTCATGGACAGCTGTTTCGTTGTTAATGCAACTCATCAGCATGAGGTTGGTTACTGGCTTGCTATGGAAGTTTGGTATTACTTGTACTTGTAGAGCATGCCTACCCAGAATCCCTTGCAGTAGTGAGAGCACTGTTAAAGTGAGATTTCTGTGGAAAAAGCAAGTCTTATGGCTTGACTGGTGTGTGTATTTGTGTTTAGCAATGTATTAACTATGCACTTACTTCAGGTGGAAGGAGTTTTCATCCACACTTTTCACCCCACCACAACTCTCTTGGTATGTACTTTACAAGTAACCAACCTCATGCTGATGAGTTGCATTAACAACGAAACAGCTGTACTGGCTTTGCTCCTCTTCCTGAGTTGTGCCGTTGTATACAGCAGACACATACTCCAAGGAATCCATGTATAAAGTGGAATTATGAGGCAAAAATGTGGTTCTTTGTTGAGCTCATTTGCATCCACCTACCCAGAATCCCTTGCAGTAGTGAGAGCACTGTTAAAGTGTAAATTTCTGTGGGTAAAGCAAGTCTTATGGCTTGACTGGTGTGTGTATTTGTGTTTAGCAATGTATTAATTTTATATATCTATATAATTCATTTGTACATTTTCTTTTCTTCAGCCCTAAAAAAGGCCATATAAAATTGCCTTAGTCCTGTTACTACTGTACTTGATTACCAAAAAAAAGGATGTAGAATAAAAAAAGTGATGCAATAAAAATAGTTTTTCCTAAACTTTGTAATTTCAATCCAAGCATGCTGATTGCTTGGCTTGTAATCCAACCAATCAGAAAGCTCTGACAGGAACGTCTCATTTCTATAGAGACTTACATAAGAATTAATTCTAATTAAAAAAGAGGCATACTTTTGTGTGGATAGACAAAAGTATGTTCAACTTCCCCTGTATATTATACTATATAATACTATATTATATTTTTTTTACATAATTTTTTTTTTTTTTTAAATAGATTTCCAAGAAGAGGTTACAAACATGTCATTTAAACAACGGTTTCAATGTTATATTAAATAACATAATAATATTACATTATGAAGAACTGTTTTACATTCTTATCTTAATCATATCTTTCATTATATTTGAAAATCCCTCTTACCGTATATACTCGAGTATAAGTCGACCCGAATATAAGTCGAGACCCCTAATTTTACCCCCCAAAAATGGGAAAACTTATTGACTCGAGTATAAGACTAGGGTGGGAAATGCAGCAGCTACTGGTAAATTTCTAAATAAAATTAGATCCCCCAAAATTATATTAATTGAATATTTATTTACAGTGTGTGTGTATAATGAAAGCTGTGTGTGTGTGTGTGTGTGTGTGTGTATGAATACAGTGTGTGTATGAATGCAGTGTGTGTGTGTATGAATGCAGTGTGTGTGTGTGTATGAAGGTAGTGTGTGTGTATGAATGTAGTGTGTGTATGAGTGCAGTGTGTGTGTGTATGAATGCAGTGTGTGTGTGTATGAGTGCAGTGTGTGTGTGTATGAGTGCAGTGTGTGTGTATGAGTGCAGTGTGTGTATGAGTGCAGCGTATGAGTTCAGTGTGTGTGTTTGAATGCAGTGTGTGTGTATGAGTGCAGTGCGTGTGTATGAATGCAGTGTGTGTGTATGAGTGCAGTGTGTGTGTATGAATGCAGTGTGTATGAATGAGTGGAGTGTGTGTGTATGAATGCAGTGTGTGTGTGTATGAGTGCAGTGTATGTGTATGAATGTAGTGTGTGTGTATGAGTGCAGTGTGTATGAATGCAGTGTGTATGAATGAGTGCAGTGTGTGTGTATGAATGCAGTGTGTGTGTGTATGAGTGCAGTGTGTGTATGTGTATGTGATGCAGCGCCTTGGTGGGGGGTGGACATTTTAATTATGTTTTTATATTATTATTATTATTATTATTATTTTAATATATTTTTAAATATTATTATCTTTATGTTATTTTATTTAATTTAAATTTTTATGTTATTTTTCTTCATCCCCCCTCCCTGCTTGTTAGCTGGCCAGGGAGGGGGGCTCTCACTCCCTGGTGGTCCAGTGGTGTGCACTGTGTAGGAGGGGGCTGGCAGGAAGTGTTTACTTACCTTTCCTGCAGCTCCTGTCAGCTCCCTTCTCTCTCCTCCAGTCCGGTCAGCTCTCCTGCAAGTAATCCGTGGCAACGCTCTGAACCCGCGGCTCTCGCGAGACTTGCAGGGGAGCTGACCGGACCGGAGGAGAGAGAAGGGAGCTGACAGGAGCTGCAGGAAAGGTAAGTAAACGCTTCCTGACAGCCCCCAACTGGACCGCCAGGCTTGTAATGATCGTGGTAGAATTCTCATTTTGAGATCGATTTAAGATCTGTAAACGAGCATCAGTTGACCGATTTTGAGAAATTGTGTGTACATTTAAACCCTGTCAAAAAGCCTATATCAGTTATATACGCTCTCTTAAATATTACCAGAAGCATAAAATCGCTTACATGTGTTTTATCATGAAAAAAAGATCTAGACCATCAAGTAATAGAAAGGGATTGGCTGAAAGCAATATATATATATATGAGCCCGGTGGTCCTTGTATGTATTATGGCAATGTAAGTTGCCATAATACAGACACTCACTCGAGTATAAGACGAGTTGAAGTTTTTCAGCACAAAAAATGTGCCAAAAAACTCGTCTTATACTCGAGTATATACGGTATATATTAATTGTTGCTTGATTTGCAACAAAAATTTAAAAGAAAAGAAAAAGAAAACATAGAAATTGTGGAAGGATAGGGAAATTAATCATTTAAGTTACCTGGAGACATCATTGCTTATAATATTTTACCCCAAAAATAGCAAATCGCTCAAGTTATTTGTCCGATTTTTGAGAGGCGGACATAAAGCACATTGGTCACATTTATAAATCCAAATCAAGAACCTCAGACTTAAACTCATCTTCTTACTCAAATGTGTATAAAACATTTTTGTAAGTCGCATCCAACATGACTTGTCTAACAATGTTCACCAAACAACACCAAAAACATCAAAACTAATATAGTAATACATATTATTTAATTACCAACTTCACTGACTGATCTGAGCGTGTTCATGTTACTCTATTAAAAAAAAAAAATACCACTAATATTTATTTTAACATTCCATTCTTTCCAAACCTTCCTCCTAAGTCATATGAAGTAATGGATTGTCTGGCTGTTACTTCATATCTCACCACGTGGGAAATATAATTTGTGAGTTCTGACATAGAAGGGGTTTTAGTTTTTAACCATTTTTTTGCTATTAAAGATAAGGCCGCTATGAGAATATGGAACATCAAATATTTAATAGGTTTAATATATTGGTCCCTAAACAAAAATAACAAAAGGATGGTGGGATAATTTTATTACCTCTTCCCAATAAATTTGAATTATGGGACATCTCCACCATATGAAACATTTATTCTATCCAGTATCATATACCATCTATAAAATAGCTTATGTGCTGTCTCCATATGGGAGGCGCATAATGTCATTCATTTAGATATATTTATATCTAATATGTTCATATATATATATATATATATATATATATATATATAGCTTTCATCCAATCCCTTTCTATTACTTGATGGTCTAGATCTTTTTTTCATTATAAAACACATGGAAGCGATTTTATGCTTCTGGTAATATTTAAGAGAGCGTATATAACTGATATAGGCTTTTTGACAGGGTTTAAATGTACACACAATTTCTCAAAATCGGTCAACTGATGCTCGTTTACAGAACTTAAATCGATCACAAAATGAGAATTCTACCACGATCTTATCTGCATGAATGAGAAAAATGCTGTGCCTGGTAGTATATACAAACGTTACCGCTGCTTATTAGAATGGTAGCCCCCATCTGCTGCCCACAGGTGAAGTAGGCGGGATGCTAAATCTCACCCATGTATTTATTTATTTATTAATTGACTCCACCATGGAGCTGATGGGTACACTAGGATGTCCCTCCTGCTTTTAGTTTTAATGGAACTCTCACCCCCTGGCCATGGCCTGTTCAGCGACCTCATTCTTTAATCTAAATACACAACCTGATACCCACAGCTGGGGGCATGGGTGACCTGTGCCAGGTCTCCTTGTATGTTATTAGCATCTGGACAGCAATAGCTACACAGTCACTAGTTTGTGAGCGAGCTGCCACTAACTATTGGTTCTTTAGTGGACTTGCCACCACTCACAACATGGTAAGTGAGGGCAAGAAATAGGTTTCAAACTTCCCTTGTACTAATATGGGGGTCATTTAACACCCATAGGCTTTTATTTAATTTATTTTTAACAGAGTTAGTCATTAAAAACGGACAATACATTTTTTTCGAGAAGCCGGCCAATTTATCATTAAATCCAGTTGACATTTGCTAAAACTATCGGGCAAAAGCAGTTGATAAAGTTTGACTGGTTTTTGCTTATAATATTGAATCGGGTCCCAAGTGAGCTATTTCTTCCCCAGTTTATTTTGACTTTTCTGGTCTACGACCTGCAGTCTCGTCTCCATTTGGAGATTGTGTTGCCCTGATTAACCTTTATTTATCCTCTTTTTGTACCTATAAAGTTTATAGTAAGTTGTAATCCTGGTGATCTTATGCCTTATACCTGTCATATATAATAACAAATTTGTATACTTAGGAGCATGTCGTAAATATATCACAAAATGTTGGGAGAAGCAAATGTCCAAAACAATATTAAAGTATGATGAAGTATTGTTTGCACTCACCACTGATAATGGAATACAAAATAACAGGATCAAAAGTAACATCTCCATCTACTGCATATATTGGGCCAGGTGATAAAATGAGAGGTCCAGTCTAAAAAAAATTAAAGAGTAATTTTCAGAGTACAACAACCAACCATAGCACTGAAAATCAGTGATCCATGAAAAGTAAATATTTTAGCTAAATATAAAAAATAACATATGAGATAAAATTATATCTGTGGGGTTAATACTCTCTGTCTCTCTCTGCGTTATCGCATTTGGAATATTTCTAAAGAACTGAGCAATATAAGTTAAAGGAGAGGTAAATGCAGAGAGATTGTATTAGTACTATTGAGCTGTAAGACGTCATGTTGACACATCTAAGGAGATAACATTTAACAGACGCACCCACACATGTTTAATTGCATGTCTTCATGTTTAGTAGTTTACGTAATTTACAATATAGAAACCATGGGTGTAGCAATTGCAAAACTATCTAACTATATTACTGTACCATCTTCAACCTGGACTTGGAAAAACTAGATATCGGCATTGTCACTTTCTGGAGATGAACTTTTATTGCATTGTTTTCATGTAAAAAGGTATCTGTTTTTCCAGAATAGGGTAGTGCATCTACAAAATATACAATTTCTCTAGCAGCTCCCCATACGTGGTATTGTAGCCAAATAATATTAAAGCCAATCATATCTGTTATATGACCTTCTAGAGCAGGGATCTCAAACTTGGGCCCCTAGATGTTAATGGTCTACAACTTGCTGAATTCTCAAATGGAATAAACTGTTAGGAAATCATGGGAATTGTAGTTCAGCAACATCTGAACTTTTGCCCTCAAAAGGAAATCAATGTTAGTAATGTGAGGGAGCTCATATACTGAGACTGAGAATCTTTGCCAATTATCCCTTTTCTCCTGGGACAGAGTTTCCAAACTGACTATAGCTTGCCCCTTTCACCTGGGATAGAGCTGCTAGAGTGATTATAACTCTTCCAAAACATCAGCCAAGATTTGATGAAGGGTAAAACAGATCTAAGTTTTTTGGATAACACACATTCCCAACAGGGGTTCATTATGGAAAACACTGCATTGCCCAACCTGGGTACCTTGGTGTCTAGGACATAGCTGACTTAGCACAAGATCATTTAATCACCTACCAATCACAAGGGTGCCTAACAATAATAACTATAAAAATACATGTTACCCCAAAGTTTCTTACATCCCTGAATTGCTCTAATGTGGAGGAGGTGACAAGAGTCATGCGCCAGTTATTAAAAGTGACCGGGCAATCCATTACAAGTCATAATAATTAATATGTTTAATCAGGAAGGATGTGTTGAGATTTCTCTCACCTTCAAGTATGTCTCAGAATATAGATATTTCAATCACTCATTATACATTTTTCCGAATGATGTTTGGTTGAGTTAAAGGAACACTATAGTCACCTAAATTACTTTAGCTAAATAAAGCAGTTTTAGTGAATAGATCATTCCCCTGCAATTTCACTTCTCAATTCACTGTCATTTAGGAGTTAAATCACTTTGTTTCTGTTTATGCAGCCCAAGCCACACCTCCCCTGGCTATGATTGACAGAGCCTGCATGAAAAAAAAAACTGGTTTCACTTTCAAACAGATGTAATTTACATTAAATAATTGTATCTCAATCTCTAAATTGAACTTTAATCACATACAGGAGGCTCTTGCAGGGTCTAGCAAGCTATTAACATAGCAGGGGATAAGAAAATCTTAATTAAACAGAACTTGAAATAAAGAAAGCCTAAATAGGGCTCTCTTTACAGGAAGTGTTTATGGAAGGCTGTGCAAGTCACATGCAGGGAGGTGTGACTAGGGTTCATAAACAAAGGGATTTAACTCCTAAATGGCAGAGGATTGAGCAGTGAGGCTGCAGGGGCATGTTCTATACACCAAAACTGCTTCATTAAGCTAAAGTTGTTCAAGTGACTATAGTGTCCCTTTAAAACATGCTGGGAACAGAATCTGTAAGCCTGACATTTTGACAGCTGGTGCATTACCCAACTGAGCTATTTTTATATTGTTGGCCATTGTGATATAGTAAGGATTTCTATACTTTGGAATATGTTATTATAGATATAGCTAGAAACATACCCACTTTTAATTGTTATGCAGCACACAGGAGAAGAGCATGCCTTCTTTTTGTGTGGGTGATAGACACAGAGCCACGGAAAAAGAACAGAAATATGGGCAGGGGCAGATCTAGATTGAGATAAAGATGCTTCCCAGGCACAATTACAAGGTGTGCTAATTAAGCAACATGCTCATATTAGAGACGTAACAAAGTATGAGTAGAGGACAATCATCAAAATATAGTTGAATTGATCTATGCATCTACAAGTGGGCAGATTTATTGGAGCAAAATCGAAACAAGGTTTTGGCCTACAACAGGGCCTTTGTCAAGCTTGACAAAGGCCCTGTTGTGGCCCGAAACCTTGTTTTGATTTTGCTCCAATAAATCTGCCCATTGGATTGAACTTGCAAATCACATTGTGAAGATTGGCCAACTTCAGGCTCGGTTGCACCCTGGGATCCAGGAGAGTGCGCTATCCATATTGGCAATTATATGCATCTACAAGGGCTGACCTGGAAAATAAAATAGTTGCCAATTTTCAGCATTTTAAGTCTATAGGGAGTTCAATGTGGTTGGCTATATAACCACCATATATATACATGTATACTTTTTCATTACTTCTCTTGTCATAGATACTCATTTTAATCTTTGGCCATGACCCTAACATCCAATTCATTAGTGTTACCCATGTCTTTAGTCCTTCAAGTTGGAGGGATTTGTTCTAGTACAACAATATACTTACCACCAGTTCTGATCGAGTTACATTACATGTGTAACCACTGCTGATGCATATTTTGTTTCCTATATCCGTACAGGGAATGAACCGAGGTGGTACATTATCAACATCCTGAATTTCAATATTTATGGTAGCTGTTGATGTGAAAGTTCCCCCATATATGGCAGAATCCTTTAACAGAAGAAGATTGCAATTACCTTTAATAATATTCAACTGCGTCTTTCAAGTGTTCTACTGAAATATATCTATGTATTTTGGGAGTAGGTTGATGACTGTGGCATAGGAGCAATTACTAACAATTATCACAGTAATTAATAACTAATTAATTAAATATATCTTATAGTAACTATCCAACTTTCTAACAATTATCACAACAATTAATAACTAATTAATTCAATCTCTCTTATAGTAACTATCTTACTTCTAATAACTATTCAAACTACAACCCTATATCAACGTTATTGGTCTCTCGTCTCCACATTTCTGTGATATATTGTGTAAATTTGGAAGATCTCTACTTAGACTGGTGTAACCAAAATGATCAATTAATTAATTTGTGCTAAATATTTTAGTCAATATTCTTCACTAATTATATATATATATATACTGAATTATGAAGATAGAATGCTACCAAGATAGAAAAACAACCTCTTGATGCACCATATGAGTTATATTTCACAACAGCTAGAGCTCCATGGTTATCTATCTTGATTAAGACCTTACCCGGACAATAAGATACAGCTGTGTCTTTTGGAAGTTGTCATAATCTAATGGTTGGTTCACTAGAATAAGTGCGTTACTAACTGAGGTCAGTCGGAAGTAAACAGCATCTGTCTGGGGGGAGAAAAAAGGAAGATAATGAGTATGGAAATCTTCAAACATTTAGCATAATCACATCTTTTTGTATGGTATTTGTGCACAAATTTTGCCAAAAATGCTCAAACAATGAAATAATCCACTTCTCCTCCAACAAATTATCTGGCTGAACTTGAAAGCTCAAAGTCACTGGTAGAAAACAGGGTTAAGCACATAAAATACAAATAGATTTTCTCACATTTATCCCTTTGAATCAATTGAGTGCTGTTGCATTTCTGTGTCTTCTCATCTGGCTCCCAGGGGCCTAATCCTACATCTAAAGGTTTCTGTACCAAGATATAGTTAGAATAGGGAAGAGCAAAGTGAGAGTGAGGTCTTGCATCCATGATTGCATGATCCAGTTTTTATTTGGTAGATCACCCCTTTGATGACTCATGAGTGCTAGCAATGTGGACCGTGTGTGATGGAAGACCCCGTTACTGGGGCTTGAGGAGAGGCTTGGAGGCCAGCCTTGCTGACTATAAACTCTTTGACAGTATACCTTGTTTTCTTCATATTAAAAGTGGTTTATGTTCATAACACAGTTCCCAGAGACCCCCTGTACCCCTTCTAGGTGAGCAGCCACCTAATAATCCAGATTCTGGTGAAGCGCCTCTGATATTCAGCATTCTCCTGCAGTATTTTAAATGTTTGTGCCAAGGGGTGCTGAATATATATATTATTTTTTTTTTTTTTTTTTTGCTGCTTATACTTGAAAACCTATGGCACTTCAACACACCATGTAGTTTGTATGATATGTCATACATGTACAGTCTGCATTAAGTATGAGGGCTGACAGTTTGATACCATGTTCTTATAGTCTACATATATATATTTTTTTACTAATAAAAGTGCACTTTTTTTTTCATATTTCCGTTTTTTTCTGTGACTCATTTGAGGATTACCCATGTTTGTGTGGACTATTGTTTATCTTTTGGGACTTGTCATTTAACATTGGAAAAAGTCCAGCACCAGGGTTACATCTCATTGCATAATTTCCAAAATCTGAATCCCAACTGGAACATTCCCCATTTTCTTGCAAAAAATAAATAAATTACAATTTAAATTTTTTTATTTTTTACTCAGAGATGCGGCAACCTTTGTGAATGGGATGACATATCGCATTCATTAATCTATTTTACATGAACTGGAGGAAGTCACGGCTGAGGAATAATGGTTGGAGAGTGCAAAGGAATTCAGGTAAGGGTGCAAGAGGCTACTGGCAGAACGAGATTCAGAATGAGAAGGTAGTCTGTGTCTCTCCACAGCGGCAGAGCAAGTTTCAGGATGAGGTGGTAAGCAGCATCCATCCTCAGCAGCAGAGTGAGTGCCAGGAAGAGAAAGTAGTAAGCCTCTTTCCCCAGTGGCAGATTGGGCTACAAGCAGAGGAGATTGCCAGCCTCTCTTCCCAGCAGCAAAAAGAGTTCCAGGGAAAGGGTAAAGGAGACATCTCTCCTAGCAGCAGGAAGAGCTCTGGGGAGAGGTCCCAGCAGCAGAAAGAACTCCAGGGAGAGGAGGTAGTCCATCTCCCTTCCCAATAGCAGCACAGCAAGGTTCAGGAAGAGGATACAGTCATCATAGCTTCCCTTGCAACAGATTAAGCTCCAGGGAGAGCAGGTAGATGGCCTCTCTTCCCAGTCACAGAGCAAGATTTAGGAAGAGGGTGCAGGTGGCATCCCTCCCCCAGTGGCAGAGTGAGCCTTAGGAAGAGAAGGTAGTCGGCCTCTCTCCCCAGGGACAGATTGACCTCCAGGGACAGGAGGATGTTGGCCATCCTACCGAGTTGCAGAACAAGATTCAGGGAGAGGGTGCAAACCGCATCTCTCTCCCACTGCAGACTTAGGTCCAGCGTGAGGAGTTAGTCGGCTTCTCTCCCAAGTGGCAGTCCATGCACCTGGGAGAGAAGGTTGTCAGAATCCCTGCTCAGCAGCAAAAGGAGCTCCAGGAATAGAAGGTAGTTGGCCTATCTCCCCAGCAGCAGAGCGACGTTCTGGGAGAAGGTGCAAGACAGACATGCAGATTCAGATGCTCCGCAACAGCGTCGTGTGGCTTCTGATTTGATCCTGGATTACTGATTTTATCCCCTAAAATAAATAGGGAAATACATTTATTTTATGATATCTCTGACAGAGTTGCAGTGGATTGCATGCCTGGAACGCATGCTCCTTTTAATGGATAATATTAAAAATAATAATAATACAGTAAACAAAAAATACCATAAACATTTTATACCTTCACTTCATGCTTTCACACAGTCTCACCAACTGAATTCTATTGAAGAGTGCTGGTTTAAATGTTAATATTAAGCTGGACTAACTTGCCTTAATTGATATATGAATGGGATTGGCAGTAACACATTGCAGTTTAATTATCTCACCATATCCATTTCTTTTAGCTCATATGACAAGGGCTCATTGTCTAGGTCTGTCGCTTCAATTCTTGGACCAATGGAAGCATTCACTTTAAGATCCTGGAATAGAATTACAATTAAATGTGTTTCATAATATTTTTACATTGAAAGAAAGACTAGTTGTGCCTCACCATGACCTTATGGTGCAATGACAATTCTAGAAAGCAGCCATAGGTACAGTATACTTTATTGAATTGGGGTAACGAGAATCCTCCTCTTGATGTACCAGATTATTGCTACTGCTCTGCTGCCCATTGGATTGCAGATATGATTAAGCCCTTGACAGCCAATGGGCATAGGATTGCTGCACCCTTTTGTAACCACAACCATCTCAGATATTCCATGAGGGAAGGACACTAAATCCTCCCCCTTAATATTAAAATTAGGGCTTTAAATAGCACCCACCAATTGGCCACGGATTGGAACAGGGGTCTGGGCAGCGAGCTGTCCACTCCCAAGTATTTAGTTTAAAGTCCACCACCTGATGCCCACAGTTGGAGGCACGGAGGGAGCTATGGTTCCCCCCTGTTATTTAACAGGTCCCATCCCCATGAGATACCTAGTCACTAGTTTTAAACATTTAGTAGATACGCTTCCAACTGCTGCATGGCATGTAGGAACATAGGGAGATTTTAAACCTCCATTATAGTACTATGAGGGTCTTATTGATCCACATAGGGTTTTTATTTATTTATTTAACTTTTTTAATGTGGCAGCAAGCTAGCAAGCTCTGACCTTCCACCACACGCTTAACACTCGCACTGCCAATGGTTTTTAACTAGGGCTAATGCTGCCAGCAGGGAAATTGTGCTTCAAATTATCATTCACTTTCCAAAAAGCTGGATGAATTTGGTTCCAAATTTAAAGTAAACCACTGCTTAGTGATTTTTTTAAATTCAATACTTTGTATAGGAGTCAGATGCGTAAGCACTGATTTTAATCCAGACACTGAATGCATCCTGGTGATCAATGCAGATTCGCTCTGGATGACAGAATTCCAACTGCATTCAGTAAATAAGAGAATTGCCATTGCGGTCAAAGTTTGCCCATTGGTCAATTTGGTCATTTTCAATTTTTTTTGGTCCTTCCAGGAAAGACTGCACGAATAGTATCCCTGGTGCCAGATCAACTTTAATACGCTGAAATGGTTAAGGTGTCTAGAGTTTGCCTTTAATAAATACTTTTTCATGATTTAATGCACAAGTGCAATATTTGTGATGAAATTGGGACAGGAACACCACCTCAATCAATAATGACCTGTTAGTGAAAAATTGTTAATGCCATATTCTAGGAGTGCTGAATGAACAGAGCAGAAAATATATAAGCCAACATAGAAGCCACAACAGTAAAACCACCTGCCTAATATCATGTATGTCCACCTTGTGCTACCAAAACAACTCTGATGCATCAAGGCATAGACTCCACAAGACCTGCATGCATTTGGTGACTAATTGTGGCATTGCATATGTGTAGAGTGAGCCCTTTTTTGTTGTGTTTTGTGTAAATAAGTTGGTTACAGTTGTATTGTGTGACAAAGTGCTGTAGTGTGTGTGTCTTTCGGCTATAGAGGGAGCATATGTGCTCTAGTGTGTGTATGGGGGGTGTAGCAAGTGTGTGCATAGTGCATGTAGTGTAGGGGCTGTAAAGAGTGAGTGAATGTGTGTATAGAAACATAGAAACATAGAATGTGACGGCAGATAAGAACCATTCGGCCCATCTAGTCTGCCCAATTTTCTAAATACTTTCATTAGTCCCTAGTCTTATTGTGTGCATAAAGGATCCATAGTGTGTATATCAGATGTACCTTATGTGCCAGGGGTGTTCTGTTTGTGTTATGGATGTTCTGTGTGCCATGGATGTACTGTATGTGTCAGGGATGTTATGTGGTTTGCAATGTGTCTATAGGGAATCCAATTTTTGTGAAGGGTGCCTTGTGTGTGACTATGTTTGGGCCTGAAGTGTGGGGGCTAGGGAGGGGGATGAGAAGGGAACAATGGAATAATACAACAAATATAATATGTATAAAAATATTTTTTTTAAATTAATTATAAATTTAAAAATATTTTTTAAATCTCCCCTCCCCCCCCATCCCCGACCCAGTCTTCTAGCCATCACTATTTTGCCCTTGTCAAAGTCACTCAGATCTTTTCACTTGTCCATTTTTCATGCTTCAAACACATTAAGTTCAAGAACTGACTGTTCACTTACTGCCTAATATATTCCCCCCCTTGACAGGTGCCATTGTAACAATATAATAATGTTATTCATTTCACCTGTCATGGGTTTTAATATTGTGGCTGATCAGTGAATAATCAATACAAATGTGTTTACATGCAGGCTGTAGGGCGTTAATGTCTGTGTTTTCTTGTAAAATTCGTTAGTGTCATAGTAGTTAGTACTTATAATCTTGCTTCAGAGGCAGTTCCTAATTTGTTGATAGTATCTCTAATCTGATTAGTGTTTGAAAATGTTTTAGTTAAAAGTGATTATTGATTGAGGAGCTTTTAAGACATGTACTTTCATTTCAACATATTCATGTAATTATTTTTTTGTAAATAACTCTTAAGGTTTGTGAGGTTGGGGATGACATATCAACACTGACACATATGGATCTTGGACAGAGGGGGCATTGATGAGAGGTACTGGTATGCTAGTAACATAATGAGTATCAATGATGATAGGCACAGCCACAAAAGGGGAATGTTATCCTGGTGTACATGTGTGCCAGTTTGAAGGCTTCCCAGCACGATGGACAACAAAAAATATAATGATACACTACTGCTAAACTGTAAGGGACTGTCCTGCATTCCAGACTATTTATTTTTTGTAATAGTAATTTTAAATACATATCACCTCCTAAATATCCCCACAGATTTGAGCATACCATGTAATCTGGCAATAACATTTTCTATGAATGAATAGAATTTAGCACACTGCCTAAAGATACATAACTACCCTTATGTAACGTAAAATAATCGATAATATTATTACATGTACTTTTTTATGCCTTGAACACTTGTGTATGTGCAACCACAATTTCTCTGCCTAAAATTTACCCAAAAGTGAGCGGCAATGACCCAAACGATATCATCTAGGTGGAGAATTGGTATAGGGGTGAGAGCAATGGGGATGGGATTGAAGAAAAATGTTACTCCATTTAGCCAAGACATTATAGTAATACCTGGAGGACCAGTAATTGGCTTCAAGAGGAGAGTACATTCAAAGAGTACATATCTATATACAAACACACATTTACCCCTCAATTTATTAGAGGATAGTATTATTCAGTTGGGTCAATGGTACGCTAAAACGACATTTGCTAGTGTTCGCATCTGATCAGCTACACTGGCTTAGAGCAATCCAAACAAATTGAAAACCTCCCACAGAGAAACAAAGGAATAGTGCCAGGGAATGATATTATTAACTAGATAAACTAAGAAACTGACAAATGTTAATTGAAAACAGGTACACCCAGGGACGTATTAGCCGCGAGGTAAACAAGGCATTTGCCTTGGGCGGCATTTTTCAGGGGGCGGCAAAAAACGCCGCCCCCCAAATGCCCAGGGCAAATGCCTTGTTAGCCTCGCGGGCGGGTGGCTAGTGAGGGAGCACTTCCTCTGAGCGGTCTGCTCAGCTCCCTCGCGCGCCGCAGAGTGAGGCTGGGAGCCGGAATATGACGTCATCTTCCGGCTCCCAGCCTCACTCTGCGGTGCGCAAGGGAGCTGAGCAAACCGCTCAGAGGAAGTGCTCCCTCGCCAGCCGCCCGCACAGCAGCCAGCGCCGCCCAGCCCGACCAGCAGCCACTGGACCACCAGGGAGAGAGAGACCCCCCCAGCACTCCCAAAGGTAAGGAGGTTGGGGGGGGGTTTAAATTAAAAAAAAGTTAATGTGAGTGATTGTGTGTGTGTCTGACTGTGTGTGTGTTTGTGTCTGACTGTGTGTGTGTGTGTTTGTGTCTGACTGCGTGTGTTTGTGTCTGACTGTGTTTGTGTATATGTCTGACTGTGTGTGTTTGTGTCTGACTGTGTTTGTGTCTGTGTATGTGTCTGACTGTGTATGTTTGTGTCTGACTGTGTGTGTGTATGTGTCTGACTGTGTGTATGTGTTTGTGTCTGACTGTGTGTGTGTGTTTGTGTCTGACTGTGTGTGTGTGTGTTTGTGTCTGAGTGTGTGTGTGTGTGTTTGTGTCTGACTGTGTGTGTTTGTGTCTGACTGTGTGTGTGTGTTTGTGTCTGACTGTGTTTGTGTCTCTGTTTGTGTCTGACTGTGTTTGTGTGTATGTGTCTGACTGTGTGTGTGTTTGTGTCTGACTGTGTGTGTGTTTGTGTGTCTGACTGTGTGTGTGTATTTAGAAGGTGGGGTGGGGGGGAAGGGTTGGGTGGGGGTGGCGCGGGGGCAGGGGGGCGTCTGAGTTTTGTCCTGCCTAGGGCAGCACAAAACCAGGATACACCACTGGGTACACCAGAAATTTAGGGCAGTTGTAGGACTGGCTAATCTCCATAATTATTATTGCTTTGTACCTCCCAGCCTTTGTTGTGATTGTGAGCTTGTTTGGCAGGGCCCACTTCATCTAGTGTTCCCTTCATACATGTTTTGTCAGAAATACATGTTTGTCTTGTTTTCCGTGGTACAGCGCTGCAGAATACGTTGGCACTATATAAATAATTATAATTGTAACCTCTTCTTGCCAAACTACCCGTTGCTACATTTAGCAAGTAGTAGTAGTTTCATTTCTACCAAATTCACACAAAGCGACAGGAAGTTACCAGCAGATGATACTAAAAAGCCAGCCGCTACTACTTTTTAATCTCGCTGTTGGTAACGTAGAGAATTGTCAGTTTACTTTGATGAACACAAAGCTGGTTTGGAATATCTAATATCTTTGCAACAATGAAGACTTTGCACCAGTAAAATTATTACTCTGGACCTGTACATTTACTCTACTATCTGACATCACGAGCCAGTCTAGCAAATCTCATGGGTCTTTTAAAAGAAGTAGAAGCGTATTTCTATCTTGCTTGTACTCGTTTTTACTTGAACCAATAAATCAAGCTGATTATAAGACATGTAATTATTGAATTGAACACATTTTGTAACTCACCTCAGGAACGGTAAAATTATAGCTTGAATGTGAGAACACTGGTGGATTATCATTCACATTAACTACAATGATAACAAAAGTCATGACACGAACCTAAAGGGTTAACAAAAAAAAAAAAAAAACCATAACAGTTACTTTAACATTTCTCAGGCCTCAAGTTAATATTTTGGGATGAACATTTCAAATGATTTTTTAATAGTTTGGGATGGCTTACACTGATAAATAAATAAATTGAGAATTAGATCAATGTTTCTGTATTTCCTACCATTGATGTATCCAAGATTGAGACACTGCATCACAAGAAATCCCAGATCAGGGGTGCCTAATAGGTAGATCCCCAGATGTTGAAATACTACAACTCCCATGATGCTTTGCATGCATCTAGACTGCCTTTCGAATGACAAAGCATCATGGGAACTGTAGTTTTAAAATATCTGGAGATCTACCATTTGGGCACCCATGTCTTAGATCATCATCATCATCTACATCATCTAGTTACAATTCTGTTTGAGAAATATGTCCAGTTTGAAAAACATACCTCTAATTGGTACTAATTCTACAAAATAACAGGTTTATTCACTAAAGTGAGAATTCAAAGTGAATTTAAAATGTAAGGTCAAAATAGCTGAACTGAAAATATTATCTTATTTAGCTATACTTCCAATTCAGCTAGTCACCAGAAGAATTTTAACTTAATGAAGCAGTTTTAGTGTATAGATCATACATCTGAAGCCTGACTGCTTAAGTTTCTGCAATTTAGGAGTTAAATAACTTTTGCTTCTGTCCACACACCCCTGGCCACACCTCCACTGGCTGTGACTTCTTTTTCAATCAGATGGTAACTTACTTTAGATGTTTTTATCTCCTGCTTTGTTTACTGCATTTTAATCACACTCAGGGGGCTTCTGCAAGGTCTACTATGCTATTAACAGTGCTGGAAATATGACATTTTAAATTAAACAGACTGTGCAATAAAGAATGTTTAAACATTAGTTCTCACTTTTTAGGAAGTGTCTAGGAAAGCTGTGTCACATGCAGTGAGGCGTGACTAGCTGCATAAACAAAGTGATTTCCTAAATGGAATTGAGCAGTGAGACTGTAGGGGCATGGTCCATACACCAAAACTCCTTCATTAAGCTAAAGTTGTTTTGGTGACTATAGTGTCCCTTTAAATTTGAAATTCACTATGAATTTACTTTACTTTAAATTCGTGAATAATCACGTAAGAGATTAAAGTCCAGTATTGCATTCAGAAGAATCTTTGGTACCCAAGCTAGATTCAGATTTTAGAGTGTAGAGACATCACCGCACCTACTGACTGGTGACACCGACCTACTTTAATAGCTCTCTGTTACACTCGTCTAGGTTTAAAAAAAATAAAAATAAAAATTAGTGGGGAAGTGGGAAATAAGGGGGTGCTTGAGAATTATGTGTCTATGGTTACTTGTGATGTTGATACTACCATGCTCCTGAAACAGAGACAGTCTTTTTTTCCCTAGTCTTTGTTAGGAGCAAAAATCCTGTTATGTTTAATACCCAACCTGGGACACTCAGTGAAGAATTATTAACTTACATCTTGACTTTACGGACTCAACAATGATTTGAAATGTTTAAATAAAGATATTTGTTTCACAACATAATCCCCCCTTTTCAGTGGTTTTTGGATTGGCTACATAAACTAGAGAGTTAAAAACTCTGCTTCCACGAATTCTCTCATTTATGTTGTAACAATGTAAATACTCTCCTTATAGACACATTCTAACAGTTAAGAGATAAGTCACTACCACACCAAGGAACTATCACTGGGAGCAGAAAGGACATAGGTTCCTGAATTATTCTTATGTTTTAGTCACCCGGTGCCCATTATAGGTGCAGGGTGTGTATAATATAATTGGTTGTGGTTAAATGTATTGTGTGCTCTCCTGTCCTGCTGATACTTGATGCCAACAAGGTGGATTTTGCTGTGGAGCCTTTACAGCACCCTCTGTTGGTAGCAGGTATATTCACTACCTGAATAGCAAGTCTTGTTAATTTGCATATTTAGGTAGATATTCATATTGCTAATACTGCAGGCAGGAGAGAGTGCTAATTATTGTTTCCACTAAAACTTTATAAATATGTTATTAAGTTATTATAAGTTCTTGTATGTTGCCTGATATGATTTGGTTATTTTATTGACGTTGTCCCAGCAATCTAGATGTAACAAGCATATGGGCTAGTCCTGAGCAAAAATAAACATGCGTATGTTAGTTCCTTTCGGAACTGTGTGTCCTGTGTAGATTTTTAGGGTTCTTAGTAACAGAGTCTTCAGACCTGTTGGTTGTCTGCACGACCCCTCTAGTCCAGGGGCAAATCAAAGAGAATTAGGCCTAACAGTCGCAAGTGTCTTTATAAAGACAAGAACTATCACATTGTAGGCAGAGGTTCATACCTGCCTGGAGGGAAAGATGCAGAGGAGACAATATCTGCCAGGACGGAAAGAGCTCCAGAGGAATATGCAGATGGGGCAATGCCTGCCTGGAAGGAAACCACTCCAAAGAGACCTCAGTCAAGCTTCAGCAACTGGGGCTGAAGCGCTCATGGGTCGCAGCAAGTGGCTAGGAAGCGGACTGGGCGGAGGTACTCAGTCGGAGTACAGTACTGATGACTCTCCAGCACATCGACTGACTATATTTACTAACGCAAGCAGAATGCATGTCAAGCTGAGGTTTTATAAGCTACTGTTTATTGGTTGTATAATTGGTTTGCTACCACTAGCCTTTTATGAAATGAATATTTTCAACATTTTTGAGGTTTTGCTCTTATCAATGACCTATAGCTTAACAAATCTTTCAAAAAGTTAAACTAAAATTAAAAAAACAGTGGTTTTACTTACAATTCCTCCATTGTTCACACACTGCAGTAGAATTATAAAAGTCAGATTCATCTGTGGGAAAGTAAATATAAATAAATATTTAAATAAGATATATAAAATCAGTTTTGACAATTCAGTGGACATTAACATCAACAAGCGGTTCAGAGACTTTGAAACAGTTTTACTTTAATATTTTTTGGAAAATGAAACTTGCATTCAAGTTTGAGATGCCTTGCTCGAGATACATAATCTATTAAATATTTTATGTCCCACAACCCATTACTGTTTAAGTTAATTTATTATTTATTAGGTTATTTAGTGCTAAATATTAATGAAATGCATTTATTCGTTATCTAAAGTCCCTGCACATTAATTTGAAAATAGTATATATGCATACGGATTAATGTACAAGAACCCATTAGAAAGAGAATAACTGGCATTGCTAAAAATGTATGTCAAAAAGATATGTACTAGCTGACATATGTAAGCTATGCCAGAAGGAAATATATCTGTGTTAAAGGCACACTATAATCACCAAAACAACTTTGGCTTAATGAAGCAGTTTTTTGTGAATAGATCACGTCTCCATCTAGGAGCTAAATCACATTTGTTTCTGTCCATGCAGTGCTAGTCACACTTCCCCTGGCTGTGACTCACACTGTATGCATGAAAAGAAAGCTTAATTTTTAATCAGATGTTAACTTACTTTAGAAGTTTTTATCGTCTGCTCTGTTAATTGAACTTTAGACTTATACAGGAGGCCCCTGCGGGGTCTACAAATCTATGAACAGAGCAAGAGATAATAAATTCTAAATTAAACAGATGGTGCAATAAAGTTTAAACATCAATAAATAAACATAAAGTTTATTCTCTTTTTACAGGAAGTGTTTGGAAAGACTGTGCAAGTCACCTGCAGGGAGGTGTGGCTAGGGCAGCATAAACAAAGTGATTTCACTCCTAAATGGCAGTGAATTGAGCAGTGAGGCTGTAGGGGTATGATATGTACACCAAAACTGCTTCATTGAGCTAAACTTGTTTTTGTTATTGTGTTCCTTTAATTGTTTATCGTGCTTTCCTTTGATTTCCATCTCCTCATATTCACAATGTCTCCCTACACATATATAACCTCATTAAGGATTAATTCGACCCTGTTAGAATGTGTCAGGATCCTATCCTTACAAGCAAGACTTTTGTTCTGTATATCCTGTTCCTTTAAAAAAACAAGTTTCTACATTGATTTTGTTTTACCACTAGTGGCCTCCCTTGCCTCTAGTTTGACCACTCATCTTATCATGCTCACCTGCCTGGACTAATTTGGGTTCCAAAAAAGGTAACTCCCAATTCACCACTTTGCCTTGACATTGAAGTTGATTGCCTAAAAATACTTCATATCCTGGCTCCTGAGCCAGGATTTTCCTTATTGGCTTCATAACCTGCTATACTCACCAACCTGCTCCAAACTTACCTGTACAACTCTTCATTCTTGCCTTATCTACAAACCTGCAGCAAACCATCCTGAACTCCCTATATTCCAGCTGAACATCCAACACTGGACTTTATTTTACTTTGTGGCTATCTATTTACTCGGATTTACTTATATTCCACACTATATTTTTATCTATCAAACAGGACCTGCTACTACAATATGACATCCTATTCAAAGAGAAAATAATCCAGGCACTCCAACGAATTCCAAAATAAAGGCAATTTTATTAGAACCAGGAGCTATACAGCAACATTTCGACCCCTTAGGGCCTTTGTCAAGCTTGAAAAAGGCCCTAAGGGGTCGAAACGTTGCTGTGTAGCTCCTGGCTCTAATAAAATTGCCTTTATTTTGGAATTCGTTGGAGTGCCTGGATTATTTTCTATATTGAACTATTCTACATTTGGTCCATTCTGGTACTGGGACTTGTCCATTGGAGCACCCCGGATTCCATGTTGAAGGGCTGAGTGCACTTCCATTATCTATATATATTTATCTTATTCAAAGAGACTGAACAACTACAATCCTATTTAAGTATTTATTATATTTCTGTCGAGTTCTGTTTAGTTATTTTTGTTTCTTGTTCTGGGGCATATGGTCTAAATCCTGTTTCCTATTATCCCTTTTATATTGTACCTATAATCTCTCTTATAGGTTTATCCCCAATTTCCCTCCTATAACTTCTTTTATAGGTTTACCTTATTTCCACTTTGGGCTTGCAGTCTAAATCCTTTATTACTTTGGCTACTTACTTCCGTGTACATTCGGACATTCTGTTCTGTTCACTATCTTTCATTCCTATAACTACAATAATAGGATATCCTGTTCTTACAAGAATGTCAAAGAAAGCACATAAAGACCCTGCAATGAACCCCAGTTTCAGTCTCATCCCTGACCTGAACAAGATCATGACAGAATGGCTCCTTCGACTCTTACTTGACGTTAAAGGTCAATATGTGAGTTTGGGTTCCAAGTTACAGACAAATAGCAGGGTTCACTTTTGTTGTATCCCAACTGACATTATTGAAGTCTGCCCCCCAGATTCATCCGTTCCTCCACCCACACACCAAAAGAAAATGAAACCAATAAACCTATAGATCAAGGGGCCAATAGAGTGCTTCAAAATGCAATAGTGTCAATAGATTGCTTACATATTGCCATTATTGCTCCACAGGATGATGAGAAAATCCTGCCATTCCCTCAACTGTCACATGGTCTGCGATACAAAGATGATGTTCAACAATCTGGTTGCATGATTCCAAGTATATGAGTGCAATAACAAATTCCTCAGGCTGTCATCTCAATGCAGGGCCTACTCTACAGTATGTACATTTGATCACTTGGTTAGTGTATATAAAATACTTTCTAAAGTGCATATATACCATTGTATATCTATCCTATTGGTAATGCTGGCTACGGATGTAGAACATAGCTGCTGATTTCAATGTTCAGTCTTTAGCCCCGTTGTGTTAAAGACTACGTTCAGGTATTCAGATCACATGAACTTTTTTTTGTGACATCAACATTTTGTCTTTGGCTCTGCAGAATTTTGGTACCGAAAAACATTTGGTAAGGAATTCAAGAAACCAAAATAACAGGAAAAAGGTGCCTATGACCAGCAGTGTATCTACCGTGAGGCTGACAAGGCATTTGCCTTGGGCGGCACTTTCAGGGGGGTGGCAAAAAAAAAAAAACCCAAACACCCTAGCAAATGCCTTGTGAGGGAGCACTCTCTCCTGAGCTCTTTCCTCCTCAGCTCCCTCGAGCGCACCGCAGTTATGCTGGAGCCGGTATATGACATCACTCCAGCCCCGGCAACACTAAGAGGCTGAGCTAAGCAGGAGGATCAGAACTCCCTCATCGCCCGCTTACATTCTGCGCCCATCTGCCGGACCGCCAGCCGAGCTGCAGCCAGTACCACTGGACCACAGGGAAGAATCCACTCCAGCACTCCCAAAGGTAGGGAGGTTGGGTGGCTTAAATTTAAATTATTTTAAATTGTGAGTGTGCGTGTGTATGTTGGTGAGTGTGTGTCTGTTAGTGTGTGTCTGTTAGTGAATGTGTTAGTGTGTATGCGAGTGTGTTAGTGTGTATCTCAGTGTGTGTGTGTGTGTGTGTGTGTGTGTGAGTGTGCGTGTCTGTTAGTGAGAGTACGCGTGTGTGTGCCTGTTAGTGTGTGTCTGTTAGTGAGTGTGTCTGTCACAGAGAGTGTATATATGTTTGTCAGTGAGTGTGTATGTGTGTCTGTCAGTGTGTATCTGTCACTGAGAGTGTGTGTATGTGTGTCTGTCAGTATATGTATGCGTGTTTCCGTGGGTGTCAGTGTGTATGCGTGTCTGTCACTGAGAGTGTGTGCATCTCATATTCATATGTCAGTGAATGTGTATGTCTGTCAGTGTGTGTCAGCTAGTGTATGTGTGTCTGTCAGTCAATGTGTGTGTCTGACACGAAGTGCAAATATGTCTGTCAGACAAAATCAATTGCCTTCTGGGTGTTGAATCAGTCCTAACAGACATGTGGCTAATCCCACTATCCTGAGGCTTAACACTACTAATTATGGTGGTGATGGAGGTGTCAGCACCACCGAGTAGAAAGAGGTGCTCAAACTTTTAAAAGGCTATGGCACTTCTGTTGATGGTGGACTGGGGACACCTACCCTCCGTCAATTTGTCTTGGCATTAGTAGGTGGCATTGATGATGGTAGGTTTGTTTTTCTCTTTACAATACATTTGGGATATGAATGATTGTGTATTGTGTAAACTAACACAATTTTATCTAGCAAAAATAGGTGTCTGTGTTGCAGAATAGGTTGGTGCTTGTTAAATTTACCAATGTATTTTTTGACTTCGAGAAACACGGCACAGTGCTTTTACACTTGCACAGCAAACAGAAAATAAATACATGGATTTTTCTGTCTACAAACACTTAACAAAAGAAAAATATATATTTTATAAATTGGTGATGCCAATTGGGTGTAATGTGTCAGTGACTAGCAGTAGAATACTGCGTAACGCAAAATCTCAGACTAGGATGAATGAAGTAGGCTATATTCCACTCAAAGTTTGTGAGAGTGCCAATATGACATAGCTAGGCAAGTAGAACTTTTTTTTTTAATTTTTACTGATCAACAAGCCGCCCCATCCCACCCAACAAAACAAATTATTTCTACAAATCTACAAACAGTTAACAAAAAATATATACATTGGTAACTTAATCTCATGCTTGGATCAATGACACATTGGCATTCTCCTATTTCCTTCTAAAAGTTGTTTAAAGTCCTGCAGTCTGCAAGGTAGGTAGAAAGATATAGCAGTAACTTAAACCTAGTCTCACACTAGGATCAGTTACACAATAGAGATCTCCTATCTTCCAGTCAAAGTTATTTTCAATTGGCAGTAGCTAGTTAGGTAGATACTGCTGCAAGCTAAACCTAGTCTCACATTAGTATCACCCAGGCTGTCTCTCACTCCAACACAGGTGCAGCACGAATAAAATCCACTAGAATAATCCTGTGTATTGAAATGCAGGTTGTTTTATTCCTCCTCATCTTTTCATCTCTTATTTATATCTATTGACTGAACAGGATATACAGTCCACATGATTGGGCAGAACTTTTGTCCTTCATGACAAACCAGGTTTCATAATTGAACCCCCCCTCTTCATTCCAATCTCTGAATTTCGAATCAAAACAGGCATGTTCAGGCTTGTGCTCATTGTTTGTTCTGAGATTCTGTCACGTGGCACGGAAATCCAAATTTGTAGCCGATCACTCGATCGACCCAAAATTTAATGTATTTACATATTTCATTTTTTTATATTATATATAAATATATATATAACAATAATTATATATATATTTAATCAGTATCAGTCTACGTGTAATTTGATATTAATATATATATATAATTATATATACATTAATAGTAAAATACACCTAGACAGTGTGTGTATGTATATGTGTATATATGATCTAAGTATATATATATATTTTTAAAATTTATTTTATTTTTATTTTCAGCCAGCAGGGGGACCACCTGTCATTACAGGCAGTCCCCCTGCTGGCAATGCTGCAGCCAGCTATCCCGGCCATGTGATTGTGAGGTCCTCGCAAGGACCTCACTCTCACATGGCCGGGGGGCACCGGAGGAGGAGGATCTGCCGCGGGGGGGCTCCCTGGGAGTCCCCCCCCACCGCGATCACCGGCGTGGGACCGCCGGCGACCGGGTCAGTAAGTAAAGACCAGAGGGCGTACTATTACGCCCGGCGGCGTTTAGAGCCGCCTAAAATAGGGCGTAATAGTACGCCCTCCGGTCTTAAGGGGTTAAGGAACCAAGTGTGGAAGTAAGCAAACCTCTGTATAATATATTTCAGGGTTCTTTTCTTTAAGGAATTGTACCAGAGGATTGGAGAAAGGCAGATGTGGTTCCTGTATTCAAAAAGGGTTTAAAATCCTTGCCTGGAAATGAGCTTAAATCTGTGGCTGGGAAAGTATTTGAAGGGTTATTGCGTGATAATTTTCAGTAATTCATTGGGAAGAATATTGTTATAAGCAAAAATCAACATGTTTTTATGAAACATAAGTCATGTCAAACTAACTTAAGTGCATTTTACAAAGAAGTAAGTGGAAGTGTAGATCAATGTGTTGCAGTGTATGTGAAATACTTGATTTTGCCAAGGCATTCAATATGGTTCCACATCACAGGATAGTGTTCAAAATAAAAGAAATCGTTCTACATTCTTGTTCTAAAGAAGGATATTATGTCACTAGAAAAAGTACAGAAACAGTTTACAAAATTAATAAAAGCCATAGAAGATTTTAGTTATTCAGAAAGGTTACCACATTTTGTAACTGTTAATTTAGAAAAACCTTGCCTCAGAGGGGATATGATAGTTACATAGCTGAAAATAGACTTGTGTCCATCAAGTTCAGGATTAGGATTATACAAATATATTTGGGCCAATAGAAACCATTGTCTAGATATCTATTCAGAAACAGGATTATACATAGGACACAAGGCCACCCATTTAGATTAGTAAAAAGGAGATTTAGTCTAAGGCAAAAGAAAGGGTTCTTTACAATAAGAACAATATGGATGTGGAATTATCTGCCTGAAGAGGCAGTTTTATCAGAGTCTGTACAGATGTTTAAACAGCAACTGGACTGATAATTGCAAAAAACATAATATTCAGGGATATCATTTTTAAATTGTGGGATAATAGCTGATTGATCATGGGAGAAATCGGACTGCCAATCTGCGGTTGAGAAGGATTTTTTTCATATTTTGTTGCAAAATTAGAAAGCGCTTTAAACTAGGTTTTTTGCCTTCTTTTGGATCAACAGCAAAAATAGATGTAAGAAAGGCTAAGCTTAATGGACGCAAGTCTTTTTTTTCAGTTATGTAACTATGTATCAGGAAGTTAAAGATCGTAATATGATATGTTGCACTATGAGGCTAATGTGCTTTTATTATAGGTTCCTTATTGATAGTAATACTTATGTGTGCTCTGTTACCTTAATTTAGTTGGTGTTTTTTAATTTCATAACTTACCTCATAATCTACACTTGGTTTCAATATTAATTTGGAATCCACAACTTCCAATAAATCAGAAAAATCAGGAGGCACAACCACTTCAAAACCAGGGCTAGTAGTCACATTTGTCAAAGTGTAATTTATTGGGTTATTTTCAAGAACTGATACTTGCTCGTCTTGTAATCTACAGTCTAACAGAAAAAAAAACAACTCTATTATTTGTATATTCCATACAGTTAACATACACATTCATATATAATTTACATGTAACTATACATTGATAATGTTTAAAATTACCCAATTTCAAATCCAATAACTGTCATCTTTTCACGCCCCTAACCACTGCTGTCTCTCTCTCTCTCTCTCTCTCTTAGGAACTTATCGCAACCAACACCAGTTTCAGTACCTCCACCACAAAGGTCATTTTATATTGCTTTAAATAATTTGCTATTAGGATTATGGTTCCAAAAGTATTTGAGAGTATATGACAATATAGTTATTTAGAGGGCATTATTAGGCGAATAAATGGCGAACTCATTCTGTTCTTTTTTTCTATTACTTCTGTTAGGTAATGTAGTAGAGTGGAATCTTGTCCGAGTAGTTTGGTTAGGAATTACTTGTAAGATAGGTGTCTGTCACGATTCGGGGAACCCAACACGCTGGCACACACACACACACACAAAAGGTGCCGTACCGGACCTTAGAGTGGCCGGGCTAAGCACACACAGAATAGTCAGGAGACAAGCCGAGTAAGGGGAACCAGAAGACAGAATAACGTGAAACAAGCCGAGGTCAAAGGGTAGGAGAAAGTCACAGAGTCAGATAAACAAGCCAGAGAGTACGTAACCAGCAATACTAGAAAGCAAAGACCACAACAGGGCAGGGAGGAACAGGAAAGGTAAGTATTTAAACCATAAGGTTAATTCTGATTGGATAATTTCCAATCAGAATTAGCAATCACACGTGGGAGATATCTAGACCTCCCACTGTGATTAAGGCACTGTGCCTTTAATGCCAGGTCAGGTGACTGACCCCGGCGTGTATAAACCTGGGCGGTCTCCCAGCGTGCAGCGTCATGTATGCTGCCGCTGGGGTAAGTGGAGGGAACGGCGGGCGGCATCCGAGGCTGGAAGGATGCCGCTCGCCGGACCCACGTGGAGGAGGGGACCGCGGATGGCTGGAGGGTGAGTACCGCGAGCGGAGTGCAGCCTCCCCTCGCAGCCGCCCGCGGGATCCTGACAGTGTCAATGTAGATATTGCTGGGAAATAGTTTTAATGTAGGTATCAGTATAGATAGAAAAGGTAGGAACTTCTACCATAATAGAGGCAACCTAAACCTGAACCCAGTCGGCATGGAAGAAATGGGGTGCAGTCACAGGCTTTAGGATAATACCAAGAAGGTGAGCCTGGTCCCGTATCACAGGAGAAAACAAAAAATTGTTAGGCCTTTTCTTGTGAGAGATATAAAAAGAGAGGAGAGGTACACTGGTGAAGACTAGATGGCTATATTTGCGGCATATTTAGATAGGTCATCGCAGCTGTAGAACCACAACCTGTGCCCTTCGTAATCCAGTGAATAAAGAATAATTTTCACAATTGCAAGGCGTAAATGAATCAAAGGATGGGCCAGGAGGCATGCTATTCAAGAGGAACAGGTGGAGGGCCAAGTAAGTCTGTTCAGTACTCCCACAGATCTTCCGTGGGACTGATTTCCAGTGATGTGGCGTAAGGACAGAAGTGCACCATAGACACTGCAGTGGGGCCTGCTGAAGTCCATGAAATTATGTAACATGAGGGATATTCCAACATTTTTGAAATAGTACACCTCACATTGTATAATGATATATCAATTAATTGTTGTGTTGTGTCTTAAATGAACTTATAAAGAAGGGAATAAGGAAAAATATGAAGAATTAGAGGAATATGAGGCTGTGGAACCAGTTTAGACTTCCTATGAGCAGCATGACATGGCAGTTCTTTCCCTTCTGAGTGAAGAGACTATCCCATATAGGCCACAGCACTTTTCATCAATCTCCTTCTCCAAAGACAATGATGTTCAGCCCCTCAGTACGTGGCAGACATTGTCACAGCTGCTGCAACCACCACCGAGACTACCAAAATCATCACCACTGCTAACATCAATGGCACCACCAATGCCTTCACAAAGTATTTGGTTACCTGACCCCTATGTTCCTGTACTAACAACATGCCACATCACTATATATATTTTTGGATAAGGTTTTTAAATGGTTTAATAATTTTGGATACACTTTTAAAATTAATTTCTCAAAATATTAAAATATCAAAAATGTGCCATAAAATATATCATTATATAAAAACATCCAACTATTATATTAAAATATGTTTCAAAACATTTAATCATTTTAAAAGTCTATGGGAATTTTTATAAATTAATAAGTTGAAAAGATTTTCTAACAGATTGTGATCATTTGAAAAGCTTATACAAAATAATTAAATTGAGACCTAATCCAGTGGTGAGATTCATCCAGTTTGCACCTGTTTGTGTGAGCCTGTTACTGACATTTAACAAGTTCGCCGAACAGTTAGCGAAGCCAGCCACCGCAGAGAGCGCAAAAATAAGTTTTCACTCTGCGTAGGAGTGCCGGGTGTCACGTGACTACCCGCACTCAGCGTGAAGGAGGCAGAGTGCTCCACTGGACATGGAGAGGCACCCATACCCTGCCATTACAGGTAATATAGAGGGGGGCAAGACTTAAGTATCAGGAACTGAGCAGAGCCGGCGCTACCTTCACCTAGGGCGCAGGCTCTGTGAGTGACATGCTGCCTGCAATTTGAGGAAGGAGGGAGAGAGAAAGAGAGAGAGAGGGGACATGGATTGAATGGATATGGGACATAGAGAGGATGGGGACATGAATGGAATGAGAAGGGGGACATGGATTGGATTGGTAAGGGGACATAGAGGGGGACATGGATTGAAGGGGCAAGGGGACATGGAGAGGAGGAGAGCATGAATGGGAGAGGAGGGGAACATGGATGGAATTGGTAAGGGGACATGGATGGAAATGGTAGGGTATATGGAGAGCAAGGGGGCATGGATAGAAGGGGTGAGGGGACAAGGAGGGGTTAGAGCGGTAGGGGGCCATGGAGGGGAGGGGGGAGGGAGACATGGGTGGAAGGGAGTGAAACAGAGACATTGATGGAAGGGGGAGAAAGATATAGATGGATGTCGGGGATGTCAGCCTCTCACACACTACCACCTCCTACACACACTGTTACACTCCCACACTATCACCCCCACAGACTGTGACCATCACACATACACTGCCATCAGCCCTCACACTGTCACCATTCCCACACATTGTCACCCTCCCACACACACTGTCTCCCTCCCACACACACTGTCACCCTCACTGGATGCAGAAAGATGGCACAGAGAGGCTAATGGCAGAGAGGCTGGTGGCAGAGATATGGGACAGAGTGGCTGGGGGCAGGGAGATGGCAATGGCAGGCTATTTGGGGATACATGGCACTAGCAGACTTTTTGGAGGCACATGTGGCTCCTTGGCAGGATATATACATTTGATGAATTTCCTGCTCTTTGGCATGATATACCACGTTTACTCATTTAATGTTAATTGGCATTATTTATCAAGTTTATTAATTTAATGATAATTGGCATTATTTATCAAGTTTATGAATGTAATGTTAATTGGCATGACTTATCAAGTTTATGCATTTATTGCTCACTGGCATAATATAAATGGTTTATTCATTACTGTTCATTCTCATGACATACAAAGTGTATGCATTTACTGCACATTGACTTGAAATACAAAGTTTATGCATTTAATACATTAATAGCATTATCCTCCCCCCAGGGTGTTTTTGCCCCCAAAGTAAATAAGTGTGACTGCATTGATGTACATGTGTGTGTGCGTGCGTGTGTGAGTGCCTTCGCGCATGACTGCGTGCATTACATATGAAAAGTCGGAACTGGTAACTAAAATTTTTGAATCCCAGTAATATCTATATCCTTATGTGACAATTCCTTTTTGCTACATTTTGATATATTATTCTATATTCAGTAAAGCATCACAACTAGAGAAGTGATGCTAAACTTACCAATACAACATTTAAAATATTTCACACCTGTAGTAAGTCTACAATTAAACGCTGATTTTTTATTATTTATTTTTCTCTTACAATAACTCTTATTTTTTTATTATATTAGTCAATTTTAATGCAATTTTCCAGACTGTCCTCAGAAATTAATTTTGGTGCTCTGTGATAGTCTGTCGATTTTAGTATTTTTTTTTTTTTTATTAACCACATTGATGCTTTTAAAACACAATAGCACATATATAGACAAACAATACATATTTACAGACTTTTGCAAAGATTCCGAATAGATGTCACAGATAGTTCTATAGGACCTTATGTGGACAATTGTATAGTAGGATGGCCAAATGTCCATTTTAAGTGGGAGGTCTATAGAAACCGTATATTATAGGGCTGCATTAACGTAAATGCTATCATGTGTTGTCTGGCTTATTACATACTTTATCCGTTAAGGGAATATCTTGTTACCCTACAGCATACATTCTGTACATGATATGAAGAATTCTAAAAGGATTATACTTTTATTCTACATATGATCATCGGTTCCTCCCTCAGTCAACAGATTACAAGTAATTATCACAACACAGCCACGGAAGAGCTGTACATCTGTAAGGTATACAATTGGACTTTCTCTCTATGTTTGAGAAGAGACCATTACTTATATTGTATAACATATTTGTTTAAACAATTCACATACAATAACTACATGAAATAATTACCACAGTTCTATAAGCCAAATTTCAATGAAATAGGCAATTTTCCATTTGCCAAATTTTTTGTGAATAGTCAAAAACATTTTTTTTAATCTAACCTATGATTAATTAGAGATCTGCTAAAACTATGAGCACAGTTTACCAAGCAGTGAAAACTGTCATAATAGCTTCTGATATTCATGGAAAGCTACATTTAGTGTGATATGTATGATCCTTCCCTACAATCACGTAGGAATTTATATTTAGAGGGGAAGGTAAGAAAATATTTTTTTAGAGGCCACTCACAGTACAAAGGAGTAATTTAACACCCCTCCATTAGACACTATTAGGCCACTAATAAAAATTGGAAATGTTAATTGTCACAGTTGTCCCCAAGATGCTAAAGCTATACATTTATTGATGAATGCGTTACTTTCATTAAAGTGTTGCTTTCCGTGAATCACAAGACAGCGAAACATCAGAGCCTTTAATCGTTTGGAATCCGGAACCATTTCTGTTATATCCTGTGTACGCACACCAGAACAGAATGTCGAGGGTCCAACATTCCCCGTTCTCAGGCCCTTCAAATCCCAAGGAAGTAGAAATACATATAGCTGTGCTAATAGCTGCTTTTATGTTTCCTTTTATGTAATCAGAAGGGATATGAGCTCAAAGTAAAGGAAAATATGGAAAATTAGGTTTGAGGCCACATTGATGTTTTAAAAGAAGCAGCAAAACATATCCTTCTCCAGAATTCTGATTCGTTGATCTACGTCTCTTGATTTTAGTAATGTACAAATAATTTCCTACTGCCCCATGTCTTTTTCCTATATCTCAGAACTATCATCTCTTGCCTTCAAACACACCCTCCCCTGCTCACCTTGTGCCGCAATCTCCAGTGGAATCAGGAGGAAAATAAACAGGGCCAAAATAGGCCCCATTTTAACAAGGCAGTCCAAATCCCCAAATATCTTGAAATAACTCGATCTTCTTCTAAACATACAGGGACTGGAATTAGCAGGTATTACACTGAACAATGATAGTTTCTCTTGTTGCTATTCAGAATTAACCTTTGAGTCCATCCTTGTTATTCGTTCACTTATTTATTGCTATGTCGATAAGCATAATGACTTTGTGTCCTTCCCACAGCCAACCACTATTCAGATGTTTAGATATCTGATTATTGAGGAAAAAGAAAGTTATGTCCGGAACAAGTATGCCTGTTTCGGTATTAGGGAATTATAAGAATAAATTACAATATATTATATATGTTTTTTATATTTTCATGATCTCAATGTTGCCCTGTAATTTCTGCAATCATTTTGAATATTTTTTTGTTATGATAACATATATTTATTTTTAATGTAACACATATCCTTCCTAAATTAACTGTTCCCTTGAGACATCTTTTAACAACAGATATTATATAATAAGTAAAAAAAACAGATACTACAAGAAACAATGGATCTATATCAACCCAATTTTATATTACTACTATAAACTTTTGATGAAAAGAACATAAAAACTACTTAAAGTTATGCTCAATGTAAGTTTATACCTGTGTGATTACTGTGCATTATAAAGTATATGTTTTCTTAGTTTGACTTATAATATAATGTAAAACTTGAATGAAGAAATAAAAACAAACATAAACAGACTGCTTAATGTTATTCTGAGTATAAATATGACACTTTATGTTTCTATTCAGGTATTCCTTTACTCATACATATAAGTTGAAAAATATGTCACTCTCAAAAACACAAACGTAAATTAACTGCACAAGTTCTACATGTGTTTAAAGGGTTACTCCACTAAGGACGCCACTATCTGATGCCAGCAGTGGGCCTAGTATGGTCCATCTTCTCTTAGAGATGTCTGTGAATGGACTGTTTTTTGCCGACTTAGAGCGCATGTGCGCAAGGGGAGTGGGGAGGGAAGGATTTTGGGATGCAGGGAATTTTAATTAAAAAACCCAAAAACAATAACAATATAAAGCAATCGAGAAAGGCAGGAAGGAGTAAATAGTGGGCAGGGGGGGAGGGAAGGGGGAGAGAGGGGAAAACAAGATTATTACATCTGTGGCCAAGCACACAGGTAAAGAAAAAAATATGGTTGTATTCTCCACTGGGAATGTTTTCTCTCATATAAGTGTAATTTTTTCAAGCATGAGTGGTGTCAGAATTGAGTTCCATGCTATCTTTCTCATGTCCTAACCTAAGACGGCCATTCTAGTGCATAACATAAATTAGGTCCAGGCACTCAGGAAGGCAGGTTGATTGGAACAAAAAGTGCAACGTTTTGGCCTACACAGAGGCCTTTATCAAGCTATCACCTCATTGTCACAGTACCTTATTTAAAGGGTATCAACGATAACCACAATTAACAAATTATGTGCAAAATGTATCAATTAAATAAAAACAGTCACTCAATTATACACCAAAGGTATAAATATTCCAGTGCAAAAACAGTGCATTCATAATTATTAAATTCATAATAAATTAAAACGTTCATGTCAGGATTACTAATTAATCCAGCACGTAAAATTGTATCACACCTGGTACTAAAAGGTAACGTCTTACCAGGCCTTAGAATGGCTGGACTTAACGCACCAAAGAATAGTCAGAATACTTGCCGAGGTCGGGGACACAGAATGGGACTCAACAATAATGGAAAGCCAGTAGTCAGGGATACCTGACTACAGGGAAGTCAAAACTAAGCCAAAGTCAATAACCAGAAATAAACGTTCAGGAACACACTCTCGGACAACCACTAAGGGAAATTATGACAGGGCAATGAAGAGAAGTAAAAATGTGTTTAAATAAGCCCTTTACAAATCTGATTGGCCAAAAACGGCCTTCGACCCCAGAACGCACGCACGCGTCTCCCACTTGACGTCACACGCATGCCAACGTCGTCATCAACGTGGGAGGACGTGGGGTTATAATTTGGTGTGGATCCGCAGCAGCCGGCGTCCATCAAAATGCTGCAGGGGTCAGGTACACTGACACATGGCCGCTGAGCGCAGATACCGCGAGGTGAGGATGAATATGTTACAGTTCATCCATGAGAAAGAAACAAGAAAAGAAAAAGTAAAAGAGAAGAGAAAAATAATCAACATAGCTAAATAAGGATAAGTGCAGCAATAGCCCCATACTTACATACACATGAAAAGAATCAAAAACAGGATGTTCAAATATGGTCATGGAGACTACCTAATAATTTGCCAACCAAATTGGCACTTCTGGTGCAGACATCTTTCGTAGACACTGTTCATTTGTCAGATAGCCTTATGTTTAATGCTCATTTGTCAGATAGCCACAAAAACAAAGTTGCATATTGAAAAAAAAATGCAGGGACACAAAAAGTATATTTGACAAATCAAAATCCTCATTGTTTTTTCTCTATCTTCTAACGTCGCAGTGACGTAAACCTAGTCTAAATCTTATCTGTGCTGATAGTGTATGGAATTCCCATGATATGAATTCTCTTGACTCTTGTTGCACTTTATCCCACTTCCGCTTGATGGTAAGCTTGTTTGAGCAGGACCCTCAAGACCCTCTGTTCCTGTGCGTCCTACTCGGTTTGCTGCAAATACTTGTCTGTTAGTCTAATTATTGCACAGCACTGTGGAAACCGTTGGCATTTTATGAATAATAATAATATGCATGGCAAGCCTTTTCATTATTCTAAATTTATTGTGACATATTTCCACAACAGGTTAAATAAAAAATAAAATAGGCATAGCCTAATACTGACTCCACCATCACATTTATCAATTAACAAAATTACTATTATCAGGAAATTTGTTATACTAATGGTACTAATTTCTTAATAAAATGTGTTGCTTGTCAAGGCATTGTATGTTTTTTTTTATTGTCTATATTACTAGTACGTTTATACCGCACCAGTGCAGTATAAAATATTTCCTAAGATGATTGTCTTCTATATGATATATAGAAATATTTCATTCTTTGTTATCCCTCTTGTGCCTTCATAATGTATCTATGATAAATGTGTCTATGGCTTAATGTATTCTATATAGAATACTTATCCATCACTGTGCTGTAAATTATGACTCATCCATTGTGCTAACCCTTCCTGTGCTCTTTTGAATATCTCGCTCATGGTTGCTCCTCAGGTAATATACAGATTAACTCATTGACTTTTGCCCCTCCTGTGTTACATCGTATAATTAACCTGTGAGTTTTCCAAAGCTTGATCATAGAAGAATACTTTGTTAAATGATTATACCTTCTGTGTTCAAATAGAATAGTTAACAATTTCCTCTTCATTGCTCATATAATAACTTAATTAAGTATAGAGTTGAAACGTTTTTTATTAATAGACTATCTTCCTTGGGATCATTCTTAATGTAGGTGTTAACTCACATTCTGTCTTCATAACCAGTAACGTATTTACATTTTAAGCTGATCTAGGCGTAGGCGCATTGATGTACCTCGTCTCCATGCTACGTGCATGAAGCTCACACACAAACACACACATTCACATGTAATAAGCCGCAGTAGCTCTGTGTATACCATATATGCACATACTCAAATAGCCAAATGCAGACACACAGAGATGTACATATACAATTAGTAAAACATCCCATAAGAGAATTCATCGAGACACTAAATATGTCACATGTAACACTAGTAAATATACACGTCAAAAATCCATTGGTAAACAGACTATACACACGATATACAAATATATAAACAAGCATAATATAATTATCCAAATCTCCAGTAAAGTGTTACCCCCAAATTAGTGACTCTCAACCACAGCATTTTAGCCTTTTTAAAGGGGTTATAAAATAAACTGATAGATTTGAGCTATATATATGTCCCAAAAAAAATCCAAAACTAAACCCCCCCCCAAGAATTGGCAGAGCATCAATTAGCACTATCCAGAACAGCAAAAAAAATGGCATATAGTTCCTGGGATTGAGAAATGGCATTGTTGCAAACAAAACAATGCTGAGTGAAGTGGGAAAGTGTGAAATGTGTATCTTACTCCTAACACCTCATACACCAAGAAGGAAACAGCCATATGCATATAATGTATGTATATATTGTAGCAATAGTCACCCCCTAATTATATCAAGAAACAAAAAATGTATTTATATATTGTGGCTATTTCTAGTACATTTTACTAGAAAGGATATACCGTTATTTCTTGCTTAAATTGTTGTGTACATAAGAAGAAAAAGTTGAGTTTAGGTTCCAAAAATTCACTCAGTTGTCAATCTTCCCAGGAGTGGATGTCCCAGCAAAATCACCCCCAGGAACTGTACAAAAAAGTCAGTTATCTCCAGCCACAAAAAACACACATTTCACAAACACCCCAAAAGTACCTTAAAATACATAAACCCCCCTAAAAGTTACATCCTCTGATAGCCCCGATCTGGGTGACCCACATATCCAAAAATCACCCATATCGGTTCAGTTATTCGGGAATTTCCTGGAAGTCTTAATTTGACCGACCGCACACGAGACTCCTGCCCAAAACAGTTCCATAAAATCAGGGCTAGCGGTCGGTCTAGTTCGGTAGTTTAAAACTGAATAAACTACCGAACATAACTTTACACAGGACTGTTGTTCCCATGCCTCAAAACAGAATGCATCTTTCATGGTTGATTATATATTTCCTACCTGTTCTATGTAAAATTTTGTATATATTGTGTTTTTGTATTTTATTGTACCCTATTGTATCAATGCAATGTTTTGTGGACCGAGGACATACTTGAAAACAAGAGAAATCTCTATGTATTTTTCCTGGTAAAATATTTTATAAATAAATAAATAAAATAAGGCACCGCCAGCGCTGTATAATTTCAGGAAGTATTACTTTACTGAAAGGGTAGTGGATACATGGAATAGCCTTCCAGCTGAAGTGGGAGAGGTTAATACAGTGAAGGAGTTTAAGCATGCGTGGGAAATGCACAAGGTTATCCTAGCTATAAGATAAGGCTGGAGGCTAATGAAAGTATTTAGAAAATTGGGCAGACTAGAAGATCCAAATGGTTCTTA